AATAATGTCTGACATTTTTTTTGGTAATAAAACAACAGTATAACATTACTGTTATGAGTTTTCTTCTTTTAATAATTTGTTTATTAAATTAAAGAGGTGTAAAGAAAAAGTCTCTTTATATATTAAGGGAAGGTTTGGGATTGCTTGTTATAATAAGACTATTATAAAAGTTAAAATCTCAAGAAATGAAATATAAATAGAGATATTATAGTATAGCAAATGAAAAAGTTAATATAAAATAAACTATTAAGCTGAAATATAAAATCAACATTTAGTTTTTTTTTAATTTTTTATTATTATTATTTTTGTTTTTTTTTTATATTTTTGTTTTTATATTTTTTTCTTATTTTTTATTATTTTTTTTTTATTATTTTTTTTTTTATTTTTATTATTTTGTTTTTTATTTATTTATATTTTATTTTAATGCTTTTATTATATTTATAATAAATTAGCATTTCAAAAAAATTGTGAATAAACATATTAATTTTTTTTAGATAAATTCTATTTTTTTTTAATATATATATATATATATGATATTCGGCTAGGGCGGAAATATTTGATTTATTTTAATTTTTACCCACCTGCGCACTATACGAAATCCCGGCGGCCATCTAATCGTAGCATGATTCAAACCCCGAAAAAATTCTAAAGACCGACAATACGCCTCTAATGCCACTTTTCAGTTACTCTTCGTCGTTAGCTATCGATAGAGCCAAGAAGCATACAAATACAATCAGTAGAAGTCGAGAAAAGTAGAATTATATGAATTTTATTTTTTGAATAAATATTGATTTCTCAAAAAAAATAAAAAAATAATAATATTATAAATGCCGACTGAAACCGATATTTTTTATTTATTTATTTATTTTTTGGTATCTTGCATGCCCTTTAACTGAGGCGACAGATTGTTCAAATAATCTCAATTACAAGAGGTATATATATATATTTGATATTCTTTATATTTTTTGTGGAGAGGTTGAAAAGTTGTAAAAAAATATTTTCAATGCAGTCATTGGTGCAATGATTCCAGTTGAGGAATGAGGACGGGGTGTTTTTTTTTCAAGCAGAATAAACAAAAATAATTTTCTTATATATTTTATTTATTTATTTTTCTTCTATGTGCATTTCTTTCAATAACTATAAATATTCACATCAACATGCCTCGAAAGTTACAATCGACATTACTACAATCATACACCAGCGCACATGCACGCATACACGTATTTTACCGAAAACGTCTCCAGAAATATATTATATTTGTGAAAAGCGCAACCTTTCACCAAGACCACGAGCAAGTTTTGATATGTACCAAATAGAAAAAAATTACTCGCATTCTCTTTGTATGATAAAGCCACATTATTATGATTTTTTATTTTATATATTTTTTAGGCTCCCTGTAGTATATATCGGCAAAAATAGGGAAAATCGATATATATATATATTTGAAATGGTAAATAATAAGAAGAGTAGGCATGTGCAGTGATGGTAACTAATTTTCGTTTGTCGGTATATACCTTGATCGAAAAATATACTTTTACTGTAAAGGTTTAATACTTATGAGAAAAAGATGGTAAGAATAGCGTCTGTACTTATGGCTATTGTAGAAAGCATATGTACAAAAGAAAAGCTTCCATTTCATGTTAAATCCAGTAATGATAAAGGTGCGTTACATACCAGAAACGAAAGCCAATTTATTGGTGGGGCAAGTTTTTGTTTACAAATAAAGGGCTTTTATACATTATATACGCTTGGGATAATTCACGGTGATTACAATGGTTCAAAAAATAAGACAGAATATTCTTAACTAATATGAATTTTTATTGTGAAAAGAGTTTATTTTGAGTGATAATAGTATCTGTGATGGCACAATAAGTCAAACTTGTTTTGTAAAGAACTTAAGGATAAGTAGTTTCACCACAGAAAGTCAACCGGCTTTTTTTTTAAAAAGGAAGAGAACTAGAAAATCATAAAATTACAAGGTAAAGTATAGGACTTTTCTACCCCAGGGAAAATATGTATGAACAGACAGTACGTATCGCAAGAGAGGTAGACGATTGGCTTATCCCCTGTATGACATGGCTCAATAAATAAATAAATAAATAATATTTAAATTTTGAGCCACAACAATTAAACGATGCTTTTCCCCATTTTGATTCTTTGTGTAGATAGAATTTTGAACGATTACAAAAGAGTAATAAAAATAAATAAGTTATACAACAATGGTAATGTGTTTTAAGAGGTAAAAACCATTTACTTCATGGACGCCAAAGTGAGGATCGATAAGTCCCAAATATTTTCTCTCATTCGCGTTCATTGTCAACTAAATTACCTTGGCCTCATCCCGCACATCAAAGGCATCAACCATTTTTTATTCTCATTATTGTTATTCTATACTTCAGATGTACCCTTCATCACGCGTTTCTTCACTCTGCACAAGAGTCAATGTATTTTGTTTGATGTTAAAAAATTATCTGTTTCTATAGGTGTTTCTATGTGTTCTCTAACCCTTTTTTAGGAATCAGAGATCTATTGCACTGAATTTAAAAAGAAAGAAAGAAAGAAAGAATGAAATAGAAATTGGGTTGTCTAAAATTGCACTCAACTCAAATTAAATCTTGGTACAGCTGGCGTTTGTGTGCGTGAATGAGCAATATAAAAGAAAGGAATAACTACTTGCCTTTCAATATTAGCGGAATCGTTGTCATAAAGGTGGGCCATGAGGATTGTGATGGTATATAAGTCTTGGTTAGGTGCAACTATACTAATATTATTTTGTTTTTTCGACAGTTGCTTTGTGTTGGCAGTTTAATTATTTTCATGAAGAATGATAAAATGGTAAGAAATATAAAAACGTATAAATCCAGTGTTATTTGATTATGCTCTGGATCCGATTGTTTTGCGTAGGTGCGGGTGTGTGCGCAGAATGGTATCCTTTGATGTACCATATTCATTTATTTACGACAAAAACCGATAATTGCTCATCTATGCCCATCCGCCAACTAGTCGAAAAGTTTAGTAGCGTCATTCCTAATGATTTGCACAACTGCTTCTTTTTATGACAAGTAAGATATATTAGTATAGAAGCATGTCTTTATTTCTCTTTTTCTTTTTATTCAGCAGCCACTTAAGTGTAAAGTATATTGACCACCTCGGGTGCATTAAAAACTGTACAATAAATACGAAACTTTTGTTGCTAGTTGCTTTATAAATATTTTTGCAATTACATTTAATGCTCTCTACAAGAACCTCTTTGAAAACAAAAATACTATATCTTGCTTTAATTAGAACTATGGATGGTTAATTAGCATGAAAAACAATATTCTACTATATATATATAATTTCTTAAAGACTACGAGGATATCTGACTCTGGGTATCACATATACAAGTACTCTTTTTTTGGTTTTTGGCTTAAATTAAATACAATAGAAGCTGTTAATAAAAGAAGTTAATAGAAAAAACAAAGATAAGTATTTCTATACTGTCAAATATATACAGGGTTCTGTCGAGTACTATCGTAGTTACTATTTTATTTTTTATTTTATTTTTTGAATTCAAGACATTAGAGCTACAAAGTACTTGTGGCGTCCATTATAATACCTTGGGCTGGTAATATAAAACGAAACTCACTGGTATCGAGAGCTATATCATTACGAAAGAGTAAAATGCGTACTTAGGGATGTACCTTGTCGTACTTTCCCTGCCTACTTTACACTCATGTTTTAATGATAATTATCGTTTATTTCTGTACTTTGGTAATTAATATTATATATATATATATACCAACGCCTTTTTTTGTTAAATATTTAAATTGAAAGGGTTGTTCTAACACAAAGGTCGGATGTTTGACTGTCGAGACGTGACCGAAACTTACAAACAATTAGTGTGCTAGATGTACAATTAATAATGATATTTATAATATTATGATCAATCTTACTCAGGGGTATTTTAATCAAGATTATTACACCCAAAAGTATTTTACTCAAAAATATTAAATGCACCCAACACGTGTTATACTTTTATATTGAACACTATTTGAATAGTAGTTAAAACATTGCTGCAACGAATTGTCAAGCATCGATAGCTAGTATAACCCTTATTGTCATTATATTAAAAGAGATATATAAAATTCAATTTGTAATTCTTACTAATAGAGACCGTAAGCTTAGTAGAGTTAATTAAATTGATAATAGACTGATATATCTCAATAACCAAGACCAAAAAAAATCGTATAAAACATATTTTTATTTTATTTTTATTATCGTAGATAAAGGTACTTCTTCTATTAGATTTCCTGAAACCGCCACATATAGTATACTTTTTTTGAGAGAAGACAAACCTTTTCAATTTGAAGAAGAGTATGATACTGAGACACCACTATCGTCATTTGACAATAACTATCCGGATTAAAGTAAGGAGTCCAACATGAGAATGAAGCTGCCATTGTCGGTGTCATAGTATTTAAAGATACGATGGATTCAGGTATGCACCTATTGAACAAAGAAATATACATAAATTATGTTACAGATAATAATGATACTTATCATAACACTTGCCTTTCTGTAGGCCTATATTTGAAAATGCATGGCATGTCTCAAGCAATTCAACTAATGGCTCTATTTGGTGTTGTCTTTCAAGCGTCTTACTTATTTCAAGCAGGAGGGATCTTCAACACTGAAATTATCCCAGCACTTTCTTGTTACCTATGAGAAGGATACTGATCCACATGTCACCGTTGATGTATCGAAAATCATGTCTGGATTCGATCTTATGACAAAAACCGTCTTCAAGTACACCATCTGTATCAAACGTGATATCATATACTTACCAGAGTATCATCAATCCAACTGTTCCTCCAAGAAGCACATTCCACCCCATCTATCTATGACAATAATTCTCTGTATGCCGGTCCAGCAATTGAGAAGCCAGTCCCTCTCATGGTATTTCTTTACAGCTTACTGAGAAAATATCTTGTCACAACATTTCCACAAAGTCAGGTCAGATGAGTAAATTGTGCACTAGGGATCAAGCAAAACAATAGAAAGTACGGTGACGGACGTATACGATGATGCAATTTAGACTGATATGCTCGGTGAAGCCGACGAGATCTTTGTAAATCATGCCCATTATCTCATGTTGACATTGAATGTGTATTGTTTTAAGCTGTTTGAAGGCTGGACTTATACATGTGGTGCTTTGTATTTGCTTATCAACAATTTCCCCAAAGAAGACCGAATGAGAGCAGAAAATATCATCCTCGTTGATGTCATGCCTGGTCCAAAGGAAGTAGAGGACGACTAGACGGACAGCTTTCTGGAAACATTTGTTGATGGGATGATAGACTGTTGTGGTGGTATAGCTGTGAAGACTACCAAGCTCCCTGATGGTACTACTGTCTATACCGCTATCATGTGCGTCGCTTCCAAAATACCTGCTGCTAGAAATACTGCCGGATTCACAGAACATGGCATGTAAACACATATGGCTGCCATAAATTTAAACCATATTTCTCCTTGATTACTGCATCAAGTAAGATCAATTACGTTGGGTTTGACAATGAAAACTGGGTATCATCGACAGAAGAGATGATTTCCATATATGACAATGTGTGGTTTTGCATAGAATCAGATGTAGAAAGAGAAAATTTGGAGAAGCATAACGGCATGCGGTTTTCAGAGTTGCATCGCTTACATGATTGTTGATCTCACGCACAATATATTTCTTGTGATAGCGAACCGTATGGTCAGTGTTTGAAATGGCTTTGTATTTTTCCGCTGCTGTTATTGCTCGTATACAACGCTTTGCTGATGATATTCCTCTTCCTCCTGAATATACCGTCTTATTCGAAAAAGTCGCATCTGAGTTCCTATATATGAAGGCAGGTGAGTGGCGATCGTTGTGTCTGGTGCATTTTCTGGTGGTGTTGAAGGAGTTTTTGCCCAAAAGTGATTACAATAACTAGACCAATCTTGCCAAGACATGCCGAAAGTTGAAAGGTCCATTGAACAAGTACTTACATATAGACTACGCAGGCCAGCCCCTTGGTAAATTTGGGGAATAATGTCAGAGTATTTACGAAAAAAAAGAGTAGCACACCAAATATGCATTTGTGTGAGTTGATGCTTGACTTTGGTCTGGTCTTTACATTTTGGATGTATAACCTTAAGATACACAAGTATAAGTTAAAAAAAAACATTAAGACAAACTACCGTAATGGTCTAGAGGTGACAGTAATGAGCGTTTTTCCGGAGAATGCGTTCACTGACACTTTTCTTCCTGTGTATTCCATTAATCTTCTGCTGCGTATAATAATATTTTCCTAAGGCGTCGCGCAAGTGCTATCTGAATATCATCTACCGTGTCTTCAGTGTATTGATAATGATTATCCTCCTGCATTGCCATTCGACCTCCTGATGTTCCAGCAAGTCGTCAACAGCCTATGGTACAATGTAATCGGAACTAAGACATCGCCACCAACTACCATGCCATTGAAGTTACAAAATTTGAATACGATGAAGTATGATTACTCTTAATGGCTATTCAAATTCTATGTCAAGGCTTACCAGAATACTTTTCTTTCTGCGGCGTGGGGAGTATTTCACTTGGTGAGAATGTGCTGGTAAACATTTGCATTCAGAAGATGAAGAATATTTCGTTGCTTGACCAGGAGTTTTTTAGTGAACAGAAGAAATATCGCAGCTCAATTGTGCGGGTTATGTTTTTTTTGGTAGGATAGTTGACGACATCTCTAAATTCCCTGGTCAGATTGAGTACATATTTACTCGTCATCAAGATTGGTAGAATCAAAAGTGTCAACGTTTGGTTTTTTAAAAAGATTTGCGACATGCCATTCTGTTAGGATTAAGCCGTTAGTTGGGTAAGTTCTCAATTTGTGGGTGAGTGGGTTTATGAAGGAAAGTATTGCGTGCATCATCCCGGTGCATCGTCTGCATTCATATTTCGCGTTCTACGCACAACATCCAGGGTGGGATCCAAAAGCGCCTGGTCATCCCACTGCCAAGAAAAGTAGTCACGAAAAAAAATAGAATGATTTATATTACTAATATAAATAATTATAGTAAGAGTTTTTTTGACTGCGAAAGGGTTTGCCTTTATTTATCTCTCTATTTTTCTTTTGTTTTAGCATTACTTCTTTATCAAATATTTAAACTTATAGTGAATTCTATTATCAACGAATAGTAAAAACCATTATTTTTTTTGTTTTTATCAAAAGTATGAAAGACAAAATACCTGTATATTTAATACCCAATGCCCACCATTTTCTTAGCTTTTATCAAAATAAAATTACAGAGAGCGATATTACAATTTCCAACGAAAAAAACCATGGATAAAACAATCAAGGTTATGTAATTAAATAATTGTTTTGTATATATATATATTTCATTAATCGGCTGTAAAATAAAGTGAAATAAAATAAAAAAACTATTTATTTATTACTTCCCATCTTGACATTACTACCGCATCATCTTTTATCGATTCAACCCACATCTTTCGAAACAATGAATAAAAATCAATAAAATACTATATACTCTGTATTTTTTTTTATTACTACCGTGCGCTATTCCATGCAACAACACGCACCTTTCTCTCCTTCAAAAGTTTGACGTTTCTTGGAATAGCTGGACACTTGGAAAAGCTAATGACCTTTATTCTTTTTGATCATTTCTCCGTCCTTTTAACTTGCTAAAGTATTTTTTGATCTGTGTTATAATATCAACAATTAGGAATTCTAAATAAAAAAATGACACTCCTTTGTAAAAAGAAAAAAAAAATGTTAAAATTATTTAAACAAAAACCGTGGATTATACTTACTCTTATCTTTCTTGTTCGACAACGAGAAAACCGATTACGCCCAGCTAACTTTTCTGACAAGGATTTTGCCCTGTGAATTTTATACGAAAGGTGTCTACGAGCTTTCTCTTCCACAACTGAAGACAAAACATACTCTACTTCAGGCTGCATATGGATGTAGCTCTGCACCATGCTAACAATTGGGCGGTTAGATATCGAGAAGGTACCCTCATCAATATTCAATGGTGTAGCTGTCATAACTGCTTGTGTTTGAGAACGGATCACACTAAAAAAAAAGGGTAGAAATTACAATGCGCACAGCTGTTTGATAACAATCGAAAATGTGGGATAGGTTTCCATGTTCACAAGTTGAAAACACAGCTTTACAGTATTCTATTGGCTCGGATATAACAAGCAACTAAAGTTATTCTATTTATTATTATAAAGACTCTTTCAATAAAGTACATGTAGCACTTGTTTCCCTTTTATTCCACCGGTAAAGAAACACACTTGTCGTGTCTTCTACAATGGAACGAAATTTTGAAGTGTCATTGCACTGAATGCATTAAAAGTGATGATGGGATACACTCTAGTACCAAAGAGAATTTCCCATCGTTATAGCAAGAAAGCATCTTTAAAAGATGCCGTTAGAAGTGAAATGGGTATGGCATTCAAGGTATAAAATTTGCGTTTTTATATGTTAATAGATTTTATATTTAACACAGGTGCGCAGACACATTTAATGAACTTTGATGCAGATTTTAAGTCATATTTATCGTCTTTCCACAGCATGGCTTCCTCCACTATACAACCGGACCCCCCTACAGGGGAACACCTTAACACCGGACAAACCAATAAAACCCCAACCTCAACACCACCAGCTCTATCCACGACAAACACTCCAACCCATGGAACTCCCTTATCGTACTCTTCTGCAATTACGCAAAATTCCCCAGCTTTTCGCAGCACTGTAGTCCTTGGCTCAAATGATCCATTGACGAAACCTCGCACCTGGCGCGAAAGCACCAGTCAGTTCTCGGTCTACTACAGCACTCCCCCGGAATCCTCCCCTGACTTCGTCCCCTTCTTCAACGCTCTTCTCCAACCTTTTTCCACTGGAGAGATCATAGGTTTGAACTCCGCCAATAAGGCTGGCACCCTTTATGAGCTTCACCTCACCTCTAAAGACGTCTGCACTCGAGCCAGTCGTGTAGGATTTAGTTATAAGAGCAACACTGTATTTGCCTCCCCTGCTATTGCTAGTTCTTCAAAACTCTTTCGACTGAACTTGTCGAAACTCCCCCGTTATGCTCCTGAAGATTATGACACGTTGACCAATAAACTTCGTACCGCTCTTGCCAAATATGGCCACGTTCACGACATGATTGTCAATACCCTTTTTGGGTTCATGGATGGCACAGGCTATGCCTATGTGGAATGTCCTCCTAACGAGGAAGGTAATCTCCTCCCTCTTAAGTTCAAGATGGAGTTTGACGATAGGACCCCCTTCCTGGTCACTTGGCTCAACATGGGAGCTCACTGCTCTCACTGTCGAACCATGGGTCATGATCTTGACAAATGTCCCAATCGCCCTCGCGAAACACGATCCTGTTACGGATTTCACCAAGTTGGTCACCTTCGCTCTCGTTGTCCCCGTGCTGCAGAGGTTGATAACTCGTATAAGCGGGAACGGAAGACTCCTGTGCAACATGGCCCTCCCACCCACACTCGACCTTCCGTCCCAACCACCAAGAAGCCTGCGGGCCAATCAGTAGTAACAAAAAACCGATTCGAGATTCTTGACCCTTCCCTTTCCTCTGCTGCGTCTAAGCACAATCCTGCTAATGCCAACATTGTCTCCAAGGACAAGAAGATCAACAATTCTCCAGTAGAGGGAATTGAGACCGGACCCATTCAACTTGAGCTCCCCAAGCGGGTTGGCACATCGATTGAACACTTTGACTTCTCTGCGGTAGACATGAGAGACAGGGAAACTATCCCTGAAGATGATCCTGATCTTACTGATCACGATATGGACGAAGTAGACAACTACTTTGAGACAGATATAGACGAGGACAATTTGTCCGTGCACGATACCCCACACCCCCTCCAATAATCTATGATTAAAATCGCATCTATGAATTGCCGTGGATTGGTTAAAACCAACAACCCACAGACACGCTCATTATTTATAAGACACCTTCGATCCTGCGGGATCGATTTACTAGCCCTTCAAGAAACCCATGCCAATACTGAACATCTTCAACAGACCTTTCACACTCAATTCCATGCCCAAGACTCCTTATGGTCCCCACATTGCGGCTTAGTTTCCCTTTCTCCACACATTTCTTTCGTAAACCCTCTCTTTAGCCCTTGTGGACGCTGTCTCTCTGCTACAGTCATACATGCTAACAATATCGTTCCCTCTTTTCGTGTATGTGTTGTATATGCTCCTGCAACCTACCGAGAACGTTTTTCTTTCCTCCGCTCTCTTCTAGACTCTCCCGCATTACTTCCTCCTCTCCCATCTTCATTCGTACTCTTGGGTGACTTTAATTATACTTATCGCACTACCTCTGCTACCCCTCGTCAGGCCCCTCCCGAATGGCTTAACTTCGTTTCTAACCATTTAGTGGATTGTGTCACACCGAGTGGAGAACTTCCTGCCCCAACCTTTCATCAAAATATCAGAGCCTCCTCCATAGACTATATATTTGCCTCCCCTGACCTCGCTCCCTGCCGACATTCCTCGTCTGTGACCTACATACATCCGGCTTGGTCTGATCATTGCCTGGTAGCCGTTACTTTTAAGTTCATCTCAACCCACCAAAGAGGAAAGGGACTGTGGCGCGCCAACCCTCGACTTGCCTGTAACCCTACCTTTTGCAATGAACTCGAAGACTTTATCTCTACCTCCGTCTCTCTACTCCCCTCATATATGTCTCCACAAGATCAATGGGATAAACTCAAAGACAATCTAACTATCTTCATCAAGTCTTTCACTAGACGCCGCACCCAGACACTCACTACTTTAGAGGCTCGCCTTCAAAGTAAACGTGACAGACTGATCTTCAAGTTGAGACTACAACCCGCTCAAAACTTTCAATTCCCCATCATTGAAAGACAACTACAACTAGTACAACTGGAGAGAGTGGAAATCCTTGCTCTGCGCGCAGGAAAACACTGGCGGGAGAATGGAGAGATCTCTGCAGGCTACCTCAAGCGTACAGTTGCAGAACGTCAAACCCGAAAGAACATCACCAATCTACGCCATCCCATCACTGACCATTTGCACACTGAGCCTGATGGCATGACTGACGCTGCCGCTGCTTTCTACGAAGTTCTGTATACACCTGAACCAATATATCAATTAGCCATAGACGATTTACTCAACCACCTTCCCCACGACCTCTGCCTCTCTGATGATACGTGTTCCTCATTGACTGCCAAATTTTGCATCGATGACATACGAGAAGGAGTGTCCCGCTCTCCAAGAACAAGCAGCCCAGGACCAGACGGCCTTCCTTATGAGATTCTTCAACTTGTATTCAATCACCCTTCCTGCTCCCCGTTACTGCTCCAAGTGTACAATGATGCTCTCAATGGTGCCAAATTCCCTTCATCTTGGCAAACCACGTGTATCTCTCTGTTACCAAAGAAAGGCGATCTTTCGTCTCTGAAAAATTGGCGACCGATCGCTCTGATCAACGCTGATGCCAAGGTTTTTACTCGGCTTCTCAATGCGCGCATGGTCGAAGCTGCTGGAGATCTGGTATCCCCGTACCAAACAGGATTTGTCCGCGGTCGCTTCATTGCTGACAATGGTATACTTACGAAGCTGGTTATGGATCATGCCAATTTTACTGGTCACTCTGGAATTGGTCTTCTCTTAGACCAGGAAAAGGCTTACGATCGGGTTCACCCTGACTACCTTGAACAAGTTCTTGTCAAATTCGGTTTTCCTTCTTCCATTATAACCTGTGTTTCTAATCTTTTCTTCTCGTCCGACCTTAAGATTAACGTCAATGGCTTCCTTTCTCGCCCTCTGAGTCAAGCACGCGGACTCCGGCAGGGTGACCCCTTGTCTCCTGTTCTGTTCAACCTGGCTTTCGAGCCTCTCTTGCGCCGACTCATACACGATCCACACTTCCCTGGATTCGACATACAAGATACTCCCGACCAACCCTCCCCTCCGCCCATTAAGCTACTGGCCTACGCAGATGATCTTCTTGTCTTCCTCCCACAGATCCAAGATATGTCCCGATTACAGCACCACCTCGCCACATATGCCTCTGCTTCCAATGCACGCATCAATCTTCACAAAACTCAAGCATTTTCTTTGTCGGGCAAACCCCACCCTCACTGGATGGATACCCTTCATAGTTTGCAGATTGTTAATTGGCATGACAGTCGCTCCCCTGAACCTCTTCGCTATCTTGGCTTTCCAATTATCTCCTCTATTCCTCAAAGAAATTTCTTCTGCTCACAAGTCCTGGCTAAGATAGAACGTGCTTCACATGTCCACCTCTCCCGGGCCTTGTCCTTCCGTGGTCGCTCTACTGTCTTAAACTCTCTCATCTTGTCAAAGCTTTGGCACGTCCTTCGTGTTGTCTCCGTTCCTGGAACTTTTTTTACAAAGGTTCGATCTCTCATGGGCCGTTTTCTTCAGCACCGCACCTTCCCACCTGTTAAACTTGACACCTTATGTCTCCCAACGAAACTTGGCGGATTAGGGGTTTTGAACCCAAAGTTACAGCAAGGTGCTCTTCAGCTTCGTTGGCTTCGACCTCTGTTCCGCTCCCTTTCCTCTCCTTCGGGTCTGGTATTGCCTTGGTTGATACACCTTCTTCGACATCACCTGCCTGATGTTCACCCTCTCCTCCCTTTTGTCTTCCCTGACCTCCGACACAGTCGCTTTCGCTCGTATACCAGTCCTTTCTTTAACCTCTTTGCCGCGTGCGATCTCCTACCTCATGACTTTGATTCTACTGTGGTAAATCTGGAAACTTGTCTGGATATTCCTTTGGCTTCTGCCACTATTGTCCCACACGGCCTCCCTGTTTTTCCTTCTTCTTGGCGTCACCTCCGAATCAGAGATGCCTATGAGATTGACCCAAACTTGGAAGTTCTTTCTCGGCGTTTCTCGTCTTCCTTCCCTCGGTCTCCAAGAATCCTTCGCAAATTTTTCCTTCGTCTAGATGACCACTCCCTCTTTCTTCATACTTTTGTAATTCGTGCTTGCCTTCCCCAGAGTATCTTGACGGCTCAATTCCCGGACATGATGATTCGGAGTGGCTCTGAAGTTGACCCCTCTCCACTTTTGTCTGCTCTATCTCCTAACTTTCCTTGGAATCGTCTGTCCACACGCCGATATCGCTCCTCTTGTCAAGTTGCCATTTTCTCTACCGAGGATATGCAACAGGATATACGTGCCATCGAATGGCGTCAGTTCTGGTCTTTTGTCCTTCCTTATGCCTCTCGCAACATCTGGTTTCGGTTGCTTCATCGCAAGATTTCTTGTAGATCAGCCTTACATCATCGTGTCCATACCGCGTTTCCATCTGCCACTTGCTCTCTCTGCGGTACAACTGATGAGTCTCAGGACCATTTTCTCTTTGCCTGCCCACTCAAGCTCCCCCTCTGGGAAACCTTTTGGCACACTCATTTTGGCTTTTCCCCTCAGACCTCTGACATTCACAATGCACTATACAAGTTTACCTTCCCACCTCCTCTTGACCCCACCCTAGAACCTGCTTCCATCTTTGGATCTGCTCTCTTGGCCGTATGGCGCCACCATTGGGCCTTTGTCTTTGACCAAGCACCTTTTATTGCTACCAACGCTATAACCACAGCCAACTCCTTGCTCTCTCGCTTGCACGCTGAAGAAAACCTTGACCAAAGCCCGTATCCTATCTAGATATCTCGCCAACTCGCCTTTTTTTTTCCTTTTTCTCTACACCTTACAAAACACAAAAAATTCAAAAACATATAGATAATAGAAAACCCAAAAACAAGTTGTGACGCCTCTTAAGCCTTTTGGACAAGAGTCCCACCAATAAACCAGAGCTCCGCTCCATACAAACAAAAAATTAAGTCATATTTATTTGAGTATAAAAAAAACGACTTTCTTATTATATAGCGTTCAGGACAGCCTCAAAATTATTTTCCTGTCCTAATTTTGAAATGCCGCATAGTAAAAAATAAAAATAATTCCAACTCAATTTCTTCAAGTAGGATTTCCAAAAAAAAAAGCATTTAATTTAGGGAAAAATATATTTAAGTGCTACTGCTGCGGATGCTCCAAGACAAACTTTACATGTTTCCAACTACTCTTTCATGCAATATCCCACAAAGACAACCATGGCCTAAAACAACCTGGGATAAAAAGTTAAAACTAATTGATGATCTTGAGCTCAACCTCCGAAGACGCAAAGAAATTAACTTGTCTACGTCGAACAATCTGGATCACGTCGAACCTGCAAGCTCTAATGACGCATCTGAATACATTCAACAAAATCAAAGTGACGCAGACTTGTCTGATGCTATAGAACACGTACTACAATTCAGAGCAGCAAGCGATGGATATGCGTCATATAATAATGTTTCGAATCAATCTCCAGAAACTAATCCCAATGTTTCATCCAATCACGGATTCAATGTAGAGTATCCATATTGATGAAAAAGAAAAAGAAAATAGTCGAAAACTATTCTGGAATTATGAAAACTCTTTTTATTGGACTTGACACAGAGCCGTTTTTGTTATAAAAGAAGGAAATAAAATATAAAGATATTTAGTGGTAAAGAGTGTATATATAAGCAACAGTATACCATATAGAAAAAAATAGGCGATTTTAGTGAATTGTTGCAAGTTTTCCGGGGTTTAAAGTGTCTTGTTGCTTAGTTGTAATTAAGCACCAATTTCTCTCTCGCTCTCTTTTACTGTATTTTCACTAATTATTCGCCAACTTTGAATAAATTATTCACACATCGGTGAGTAAATTTTCACACATTTGGATTTTATTTTCACATAAAAATTATTTTTAAAATATTGAAAAAAGTGGTTTTTTAACATTAGAGTGAGGGGAAAAAGTCATAGAAGGACGGATCAGCCTTAACTATTAAACTTCTTGACCTTTTTTTTTTCATAGATTCTTTGGAATATTAGGTGATATTATCCTTATGATTTTGTGTGAAAATAAAACTCAAATGTGTGAATTTAATTGGAGGAAATGTGTGAATAATTTATTCAAAGTTGGCGAATAATTAGTGAAAATACAGTACAGTGATAGATACAATTAACTCGATTATGATTGAATTTGAATTTGCTCTGTTAGTTTGAAAGGATGTGCTTCTGTGTTGAAAACATAACTATTGAGCGAAATACAATTTTTATCTGCAAAGATGAGGTAGAGATACTTGAGCGTCTCGGCAAAGAAAAAGCTAAAGTTCATAAACGTGCATAGACAAATGAAAAATATATAAATAAATTATATTATAATTCGAGAAAAGAGGTGTGAATTTTTAAAACATATTTCAGAAAAACAGCACTCATTATCTAACCTTTCCATAAAATCTTGTCGTGTATCGGATTGAAGATCAACGCGGCCAATTTGAGCAAAACCTGACGGTGTTTCCGTATAAAGCCGAATAGACTCGAATATAGCCCAAGCCATATCCTAAAAGTTTTTATTTATTTATTTATTTATTTATTTTAATTTTATTTTATTTTCATCAGTTCCAGTGGCAACTGACATGTACTTTACTATGTTTGCTTTTGTCTTTCTTATATTTAGAAATATAAGGTCTCAAAAGCAATAGAAACATACCTGATATTTCGTCTCTCCTGTGACACGGTAAAAATAAAACAGACTCTCTATAGTCTCTGTTGTAAAATGTTTTCATAGACACAGGAGTAAAACAAAAAAAATAGTAAGGGGACTGATGAAATTGTACAGTTATGCAATCAAGCATCACTTTCTTATTATTCTTCTTTTTCATAACTGCCTTACCTGGCCTGAGAATATAGGATGGATCACTAGGAGAGAATGGATTTGATTGGAATCTTTCATTCAGAGTATGGGATTCTTGGGATGTCACAGACTGAGTTTTATCCGTTTCCTTTGATAATCCCAATAAAGCACCGAGTGGACCTTTGAGGATATCAGTTTGAGGTGTCCAGTACCAGCTTTCAGGTGATATCCCAGTAGCTGAATCGTTCCAGGTTGCATAGCATGACTGTAGCAATGTATCTGCGAATGTGTAAAATATCGCGGTTTCCTCGGTAGAAGGCATCTGACTCAATCCTAATAAGATATTTCCGGGCCAGAAACAAATCTTTATTTTTTATTTTAATAACAGGCACACACAAACACACAATGATGTTTAATTTATAAATATTTTATCTAGTGAGATGTTTGATAGTGTAATGTAACTCACCAGTTCCTGAGAACTATAACTGACACCATTCTCTGTAACCATTGGTATGAATTGAATTGAAGGATCTTCCAAGGTTGGCGATAGAAGGTAATCGTGCATGCTTCTAACACTGTTAGTCCATGTATTCATAAGATCCGGGTTGGCAGAATCACCCAGCAGAATTGAGTTCTTGACGAGATATTCGTAGAAACTATCTCCACCTCCACCCAAATTAATCACACCTTTAAGACAGGTTAACCACAATGTCATACACAGGATAAGTAATTTTTTCATGCAGAAATAGAAATAGAATTAGAATAATATATATCATATCGGAGCAGAGTAGAATACGTCTCGTACTTGTGTTTAAAGGCTTAAATGGATTAATGTGCCAGCTAGTAGGAAATAGCCCTGGGATTTTAGTAGGCTCTTGAATGACTTGGTCAATCAAGTCGTTGGAAAGAGCCGAATACGTGGGATCTTGTGAAATCTGTGATAAACGAGTGAATTCTAAGCTATATGTGCCAAACTCTGCAAGATTAATAATGTCTGTTGGCACAGGTTTGTTTCTATTATTATTATTATTTGTCTCAGTTAGATACATATGTACATGTATATACATATTTGAGTTTTTGCTTCTATGATGATGAGTTACGTTTTGAGACACATATTCGTATACGGGGCTCCTGATTCTGATCGAAAAAGAGGCACGAGTACCGCATTCATTAATTCGATAGCCTTGTCAACCAAGGTCCGGTTCGGTACAAGATCGTTGGCTGACAGAAGACCACCGAGATATCGTATATTAGTTTCGAAACCTTTGGAAACATCGTTAGATTTTGTAAAATCAACAGTTGTGATGAACTCTAGTGCCTGAATATAATCTTCTTCGAGTCCCATAATTAACATAGTGTCGAGTGAGTCTATGATTGTTGCTATATATATATATTTTTGGAAAAATGATCAGAATAAATATATGTTAAATAATATTTTATGTTGCATATATATATACCTCCCCAGCCATTTCTATATCATAAAAAGAGAATAAAGTGTCAGAAAAAAAACAAAAGACTATTGAATGTCATCCGAAATACCTAGAGTTCGATGACTTGTTTGATAGTGGCAAAAGTTCATCATGTCCAAAAGCGTAGGTTTTATAACCGCCGTAGGCTTTTACAAATGCTTCCTTTACAGCTTCTGCTCTCTCGTCTGTGGCCTTACAATTTGGAATCTCAAATGTGGATCTAACGGCTGGAGCTGCCTCCACAATCAGTAGGATCACCTGTAGAGATATGACCCAGGGAAACAGCAATGTATAAATCGTATACATTGAAAACAGAGTAAAGAATAAACCAGTAAATAAATATGATACGATAACAAATTGCTTGTTAAAAGATAATAAGCATTAAATAAATAAACCAAAAGATAAAATAAAATGAAAAAAGCAAAATTCAACATTTATGGGAAACAAGGAGGAGAGTACCTCCTTTTCTGTTCTTTTTGGGTACAATTAGAATCGAATAGTAAAATACCTCCTTAACTAACTGAAAGTCAAATATAATATTACACAAACTTATTTTTTCTTTTAAAAGAAAACTATTTTCTCTTGGCCATGAGCAAAATAACTTAAAAATAATACTTTATTTAACTATAGTATGCGCTTTAAAGTATAGAAATGTTATTAAAATGAACACCGAGATAGTTTGCTATTTTTTTTTGCTTAAAAGAGACTAAGATCACCCGTAGAAGTAGCATTTCTGACAGCATGTATTTTCATGCTCAATTTAAAAACTATGCCTTTGCGTTTTAAAAGGGGTTGTTAATTTTTGTTGTTCTCCATCATACAAGGGAAACTACACAAAGGAATTACAACGAGATAATTACATAAAGTCAAATAAAATCTCGGCTGTTATTCAGCGCCTATTTCTCGATGTTTTACTAAAATACCTTGCCAGTTTCTATTTTTTTTTTGGAAATGGTCTTCTTCAGCATAATGGTCTTCTTTAGCACACAACTTATTAATTATCAAACAATTTTTTCCAGATACAAGCATTCAATCGAGGGTTTTTAATTTGTTGGTAGCATTTCATGGTTGATGTAGTATCCGGTTTTTTAAATTCATTTGAGCAGACTTCTATATCGTCATGATCATTTTGTTCACTTAAAATCAAGGGGAACCTTACGGACAGCCTGGCAAGACAGCCTGGACAGCGTGTATCCTAAGTTTAGGGGGACAGTATTTCTTGATGAGGGGCGACATTTTTATTCTACCGGAACACAAATCGTGACCTTTTTTTCCGGCATGAAATAACTCTATCTGGCTCCTAAGGATACAGAATATTTGAATAAAGACATTCTTTTGTACTTTTCAGAAAAAGAGCGGACGGAGATTATTTACCAGCTGGTGCTGTCAAACTCTGGGAATATTTAGGTGAAAGAAAGACAAAGACATGATACGCGCAAGGCTAATAAATAGTAAGATAGCAAACAAGATTGGGTCACAATCTAATGACAACAGCTCCTTATAGTCCTTTTCATAACTGCCTTTTGGTATAGTGTATTTGTGATTAATCATTATTTCTTTGTTGTCAAGACTAAATTCATGGCTACTAATTGAATATAGAGAATTTGTTTTTCGTATGAGACACCATCTTATTAGTAAGTTGCTCAAATACAGGCTGTAGTTCTTAAAATAATGAAAGTTAGGTGCTTTGCGAGAGATTAACGAATACAAAGTGTACGGACAAAGTAGAAAAGCTAATGCGTACAATGACTATATTGTATTTCTTTGAGGGCACATCATTTTGCCCTGAAGGATTCGAGAAAGACGCCGGTCTCCGGACAAATAGTCAGAATTGATTAGTCCGGTTAGATAGAAATATCGTACCCCACCAGGAAACGTGGTTACCGCAAGCTTGTTGCAAAGTCTGACCCAACCCAAAAAAAATGTGTATAGCCATTAAACTCCTTATTATGAGTGATATCGCATACTTTCAGGCCGTCCAGACCGTCCAGGCTGTCCCGCCAATATGACATTTGTCTAAGCACATGACTAGGTGACGTAACATACTTTCAGGCTGTCCTTCCAGGCTGTCCGTAAGATTCCTCTTGAAAAATAGAGAAAAAGAGAATCGTCTACACCTATGTGTTTTTTAAGTGGTTTTTTCAAAACACGTGATGCTATTAGATACGTGTTTTTTTTTGCAGTTACAAGTATTTATTTCTTGCTTCAAAAATTGTATGTAGAATCATTCCACAAGACTTGGGCGTATTACTCTGAAATTCTGGCCGAAAAATATACGGTCAGCCAAAATTTTGATCCTTTTGACTTCGAAGAAACCGTGTGGTTGGCGAAGATGAAAAATGATCCCTCTTATAATCTTGCGTATCACACATTCTTTATATAATTTATTTTGGCCTTTCATCTTGATAAATGATCTCTTTTACTCTTATTGATCCTTGTGGTAAATCCAGTTTCTGGAAAGAATTTACAAGATACTTTTTATTCCAAAAATTAAAAAAATCAAGAAAGTCCTTTCAAAGTCTACATTGATAAGAAGGGTATTTTTATTCATTGATAATAGCCATTTGTTTCATATAATGCCTAGTCTTATTACTTATCAATTTAAAGTTGTCGGTTTAATTGTATAATTGTCTTATGCGTATAATGCAGATGTTTATTAAAGTAAGCAGCTTACTAGAAGTTTGTCTTGTTATAGCAGCTGATAATTTGGCGCTTAGAGTGTCCACAAAATCCCTGGAAATCGCTGAGGCATACATTATTACATGCTTCGGCAATTCTTTGGGATAGATTCTCCTCATTCGTCAACCTGTGTCGCTTCATTTTTCCTTCTACAAGAGCGTAAAATTGCTCAATTGGGTTAAGCTCTGGCGAGTAAGGAGGTAAGTACGTTACTCTATAACCTCTACTCTCAATTTTTCTTATCATTGAATGAGACTTATGAATAGTACAGTTATCCATTACAAGATAACTACATATAAGACTCTCATCCATGTTCATGATACCGAGAAGCTCATTCATAAATTTCACAAAACGGGCAGTAGTTGTACCCTTTGCTATTGGCTTAATGTTTTCGATTGTGGTCCTCTCCTCAACATCGACGTACTCTATGGTAGGCTCTTCGATTATAATATCACCTGCCCTTTGGTCTTTGTCTTCTGCAAGCTTTCTTTTTTTTAGGCTTGGCCGTCTTCGATGCTTGAGTTTTTGGGCCTCTTTGCTTTTTAGGTGGTGGTTTTTTTTATAATAACATGAATAACGCTAGTACAGTGAATAGCACCGATGATGGTGTGGGAGGGAGAACGGGTCTTTCCAATCTCCAGTTGGGCAGTTGTTCCAAAAGTTAACCTAGCCCAATTACTTCTCATGTTGATGTTAAATCCGGCCTCATCAATAAAGACGCAGCTCTTAGTGTAATCCAGATCTGAGTCTTTCTACTTCATGAACCACTCGTATCTTGTCTGTGGAATATTTTTAGAGTTTCTTGCCTTAGGGTCGAAAGTTGGCTTCTTGATGGTAATGAGCACGTTGTTTCTCAAGTGGTGGTTCATTTGGGACTTCGAGATCTTAAAATTCTCAAACTGTGATGTCAAAGAGTCGGTAAGTCTTTTGGCTCGTAATGGTTTCGAGAACTACGTTTGGATCACTGACTTCGGTCAACACACCTTCCATCGGATCGAAAACTCTTTCTCCATCTTCATAAAAAATGTGTTCTTCATCATAATAGTTAATATAAGAGCGAAAAGAACGAATTAGAGCCTTTACATCATTGCCGAGAGTAACTATCAGTAACGCCAAATTGAGTTAGCCTAAAACGACAATCATTTGCTAAGAAATAGCCAATCAATTTCCAGTTAGCGCCAATTATTTTTAGATAACTGCCAATCATTTATCGGAAATCGCCATTTGTTTTTTTAAAACGGACAAAATCTACCAGCCGCACTGAATATTCTTTTTCTTTAAGCAAAAAAAAGAAAATCATTTTGTTAAATATAGATATTTTATACTTCAAATATATACAGTACAAAACAAATGAATAAAACATATATATATATATATATATAGTTTTCTAGTGACTGTGATGGCAAACCCCACAGTTGCACTTCTTTCGCTTAAAATTGATTATATTATATACGCAAAAATATATTTGTAAAAGATCAATATTATTATTATTATTTTTATCATAGACCTTTATCACCGCTATTATTATTAGTATTATTATTAATATTATTCATCTTTCTCCCTTTCTTTCTTAATTATTTCTTCTTATTCTTTTTTTTAATTATCTACGTTTGACAGCAAATGGAATCTTCTCTTCCAAATGATAATCATCGAGATATAACTTATGGTAAACTCATTACAACTGAATCTGTTTACAGATTTTACTTGTACAGCCAAAATAAATAAAAATAAATAAATGTATGCTCTTTTTGATGTAGACATTGATGACTACAATGACAGCGAAGTCCTCGATCTCACCAAATCATTTTCTCCTGATTTAAACAACAACCCTGAAATACAAAACAACCATAATGCTGCGACTGAAGGAGATGATGAGTCTTCAAAAAGTCTTTTAGAATTCATCAGAGGAGCAGGTCTAAAAGACGAAGATCTTGCTATTTACGATTTGGATTTAAACTCATTAAAGGCTCAACGCAGAGAGATTGAAAGAATAGAAGCTGAGACCAGTAGAAAAAGAAAGCTCGAAATGCAACTACCTGCTATTCAATATGAATTTATCAATCTTGATCAATTTCAACCAAGAGCAACGTCGTCAACATCAGCAGCACCATCCTCCTCTTCGACTTTGGTTTCTCTACCCTCTTTAAATTCAAAGTTTCCACAATATGTATATCCTCCGCAGCAAGGTCCTTACAGTCAAATGCCCCCATACAATCCCGATCAACAAAATCTACCGTTTCAAAATAAATTATTAAATCCGCCTAATTACCAGAATCTCAATCCAAGCCATCCCCTAAAAAGATTATGCCCAGCACCATCAAAAGACAACAACAACAACAACAACAATAATAATAATAATTATAACGTCAATAATGGTAATGATTCTAGAAACATAATGAATTCAAAAACATTGCCACCGTTAAATAGCGCTTACAACGTTTTTCCGATGCGCCCGAACTTGACTCCACCCTCTCGAGTTGAACCACAGGCCGCGCCCTTCATTGATCTAACTGTAGATGAGCCTGCTCCGGCTTCAAGACCAAATTCGGCATCAGGACAAGACGGTTCAGGACCATCTAGATATCCGTTTTACGACCTATCTAGGAGTCCCTCTCGCCAGAACAGTATCCTCAGCTATTTTAACAGGGCTGGCAGCTTACCCGATATTCCATTGGACGTTGATGAGTATGAAGAGATGATGCCGTTTGGTCATGATTATTTTGATGACGACGATGAAGACTTGGAGGGCTATGAGGATGATGAGTATGACTTTGAGCTGTTTCAATCGATTGGGCGAGGAGAGAACTATTCTTTTCCAAGAATTTTTCAAAATGCTAGGGGTCTTGGTATTGGTGGGGCTAGCGATGTAGGCAGAAAATACAAAGACAGGATGTACAACTACGGTCCTGACGGCTATGATGGCTCTGAAATTGTCATGACGCCTCGATTGACTGACGAAGAAACCCAGCGAGAATTGAGAGAGTTGTTAGAGAATGCGTGCAATAACGAGTATGAAGACACCGATATTTCTGAAGACAGGACAGGGCAACCAGAAAGACTTAGTATTTCCTTGATGGAGCATCAGAAAGTTGGCCTTCAATGGATGAAAAAAATGGAAGCGTCCAAGAATAAAGGTGGAATTCTGTGTGATGATATGGGACTTGGAAAGGTAATCTATATAATTTGATTTTTATATTTAAACACTAGTTTGTTGTTGCTTTAGAAAGAGGAGAATTGAAGCGGAGAGGGATCAATACGAGATATACTAACTTACTACTATTGAAATCATTATCATTTGTATTATTATTTTTAGACGGTTCAAGCAATATCGCTAATAGCTGACAATGTTTGTGAGGATGGTCACAATAGTGACAGCTGGATCTTTGTAAGGAAAGGCAAAAAACAGGAGAATGACGAACGAATTAAGATCAAGGCAACCTTGGTTATCTGCCCTGTATCTTTAATCACACAATGGGAAAAGGAAGTTCTTACAAAGACAGATCCACCGTTAAAGGTCTACATTTATCATGGTGCAGCCAGAGCAGCTTCTCAAGCAGAATTGGCTGGTTATGATGGTAAAGAGAGAGAGAGAGAGAGAGAGAGAGAGAGAGAGAGAAATTGAAACAAAAACACTTTTTCTTTCTGGAATTATTGAAACAGGAAGATGTACTAAACTTCACCTATACATATGTGTATACTTTTATATATATTAGTCATTATTACTTCTTATAATGTTGTTTCTGGAGATTTTCCTAAAAAAGAAGCGAAAGAAACCCGCAAAGAGCAGAAATTCAAACGATCATTGAACAATCTGAAATTCCACAGGTATATTTTATACCTAAAATACTAATAGTTTTTGTTGCTGTTATTATTGAAGAAATGAAAGGCACGATAGACTTGTATTCTGATACTTATCCCTTTTTCTCTATATGTATACTATTTAGAATTATATTGGACGAAGCTCATACCATTAAGAACCGGCGTACACGAATGGCCGAAGCGTGGTAAGTATTATATATATAACCACACTATGAGGTCAAGAAATAAATATAAAAAAAATATCTTATAAACAAATCAATAGTTATTTGGTCGAAGCAACCTACCGCTGGTGTATGACCGCCACCCCCATACAAAACAATGTCGAAGAGCTGTAAGTCCCTGATATATATATATATATATATATATATATTAGATTTCATATTAATAATTTTCTGTAAATGCATTGTGTTGGGTTGGGTTTTTCATTCAGGTACTCTCTTATCAAATTCTTAAGAATTCGTCCGTATGAAGAAGCAAAGAAGTTTAAAGAAGAGATCTCAAAGCCATTGAAACGAGGAAGACATGCTGAAGCTCTCAAGAGGATTCAAATCTTATTAAAAGGTAAAGCAAAAATAAATAAAAAAAATCAATAATATTTCGACTTCTTACACTCTATACATATATAATTTTCATTTATCATATAGCTATTTCTTTGAGACGCTCTAAAAAAGCCACTATTAATGGAACGCCAATTCTTAATCTTCCTGAACGCAATGTGCATATGACACACATTGACTTTTCGAGTAGTGAAAAAGAATTTTATGAATACATTAATTCAAAAGCACAGGCTCGATTCAACAAACTTGTTGCTGAAGGAACAGTTATGAAGAACTATTCTTCTGTAAGTATGACATGTATAAATATTATAAAATAAAAATAATTACTAATCTAATAATGTCTTTATAAATAATTATGTATATATGAATGTATGTATAATAGGTGTTGGTACTTCTTTTACGTCTTCGTCAAGCATGTCTTCACCCAAAATTGACATTAGAAGATGGCCCAGACAACAAAGAATTGGAAGAACATATGAGTATGATTGTGAAGGAAATGCGGCCTACAGTTATCAACCGACTTTTGGAGAATGAGTCTAATCTTATTGAGATTATGGTAAGTGATACTAATGATAGCAAGTAAACAAACAAACAAATAGAATTAATTTTTAATTTCTGTGTGTGTTTGGTACCAATTTATACGTTCATAGTGTCCTATCTGCCTAGATACTCCCGATCAAGCTCAAATTATCTCAAGTTGTGGTCATATCCTATGCCGTGAATGTCTTTACAGTAAGAATACCAGTTTTGTAGTATAGGCCGAATTAGCAGAAAAAAACTACAACAAATAATATTAATAACAATGCTTTTATTTTTGTTCTTGTTTGATTATGTAGATTTATTAAACACTACTGAAGGTGCAATGAAGAAATGCCCAGAGTGTCGTGGTCAGCTTGTGAAGGACGATGTTGTTACAGTCGATCGATTCCTCAAGGAACATGCGCCCGAAAAATACGAGGAGTTGCTCAAGGATGGATTTAGTGAAGAGACTCAGCAGAAGGTTCAGGACATGATGATGAGCTCAAAGATCGGCAAGATGATTGAAATCTTGAAACAGACCAAGAAAGATACCAGAGGAAAGGATAAGACGATCGTGTTCTCTCAATTCACAAGCATGCTGGACACACTCGAAGAGCCATTGGAACAGAACAACTTCAAATATGTGAGATATGATGGAGGCATGAATGTACGAAAGCGCGCCGAGATTTTGGAGAGATTTACAGAAGATCCAAAGATCACTGTGCTTCTTATTTCAACAAAGTGTGGATCACTTGGTTTAAATGTGAGTACAATATACATATATATATTCATATAGATTAATGCTGGCTTGTATCAAATATTTTTTTAACCAACCATGTCTTTATTTAATTCTTTTTCTTATCCCCATGTATTATAGTTGACTGTTGCTAATCGGTAAGTAATATTGACTTGGAAAAATATCTATAAAAAAGAAAAGAAGACTAAATTGTGCTTATTTCAACCCACGTGAAATTGAACAACCCATACATGCATACAGAGTAATTGTAAGTACAGTGTGATTGATGTATATTAAACCCCCATCAGAGTATACAAACCCATCTCTAATTGAATTCTTCTTTAAATAATAATGACAACGTTTTTAGCTTATGGATATTTGGTGGAATCCTGCATTAGAAAACCAAGCTATTGATCGTGTTCATCGTATTGGTCAAACCAAAAATGTCGAGGTTCATCGTATCTTTATTAACGGAACTATTGAAGATCGTATTCTTCAGTTGCAAAAATCAAAACAAGTAAGTATTAATCTTTGTTAAATTAATATTGATGTACATAAATGTACATAAAGGTACATAAATGTACGCAAAGGATAAGCATACTACATATTATATCTATTAACACACATAGTCTAACCAATATTTTTCTTTTAAAATATCACAACAACACCATAATAGTCGCTTGTCGATGGAGCTTTAGGCGAAGGTACAGGACAGAAATTGGGTCGATTGGGACTAGAAGATATGATGTACTTGTTCCGCGATGGTCGTATACCGCCATCAATGGGAGGAACTCCTGATTTCATCCTTCCTGCTACCGCTTCCGGATCCGGCTCCGGCTCAGGTTCTGGTTCTGGTTCTGGTTCTGGTTCTTCCTTGGCTTCTTCTTCTAATAATCCTCAATAATGCTTTTATTCGTACTACTATTATTATCATTGTTCTTTATTCTTTAGAATATCTTTATTTTTTACTTTCATTCAAAAGAAGAAGAAGGTAGAATACAAAAAAAAATATATTCCATCACTTCCCTCCCCCTCTCTCTCTCTCCCTTTCATCGCTTCTGCATCTACCTCTCCATCTCTCTTTCACTTTTCCTTTACATCGTCCCTTTCCCTTTCCTTTTCCTTTATTCCTTTATTTGTTCATTTGCCTATATATATATATTCAATCTTTCACAGCTTGCACTCTTTTCTTCTTCATTTTTTTTTATATTATAAATCTTCATTTTTTTTCTTAATTTGCTTTTCTTATTTTTCTTAAAGACAGGCAGATAAACAAACAAACAAAATTAAATACACAAATATGTAGTCCAATTTTCTATGGTAGATATCTTATGTACATGCATATTATTAAGTATGCTCCCCCAAAAAAAACCCGCCAGAGATGTAAACTATACTGATTTTTTTTCTATATATATATGTCATTTTACTTGTCAAATAATAAATAAATAAATAAATAAATAAATAAATAAATAAATAAATAAAATGTGTACAAAATGTATATACACAAATATATATATATATCTAAATTTACGTATTCTCCTATAAAATAAGAGATAATGTCCTGTATGGAAGCATGCTTGTGAAAGATACATATAAAAGTGTGAATATAAAAGGAGAAATGGACACAAAAATGAAACAAAACAAAACAAAACAAAAAAGGAAAAAAAAAAAGATATATATAAAAAACAAAAAATAAAGAAATATACAAGAAAGGAAATGTAAAGCAAAGTAAAAGGGAAAAAAAATAGGGAAAGAAGAGTTTAATTTGGGTCGAGTAAACAATTTTGTTAATTTGTTACCAGTCAAAACTTTAGTTACTCTTTCGTTTCCTAAATATCCATGGCAACCAACGAGACAAGACATCCTTTCTTCTCCTAGAACCTGATGTCGAAGCACTGTTGTCCAATGGAAGGGTCGTGAAGTCTGGTTTGAATTCTAGGCTCGGACGAACCGAATCGATCGATTTCTGGCGTATGGATCCGCCCCACCAGGATCGCTTCTGGGTGGTTTCTGCCGAGCGAATGGTCTGGATTAAGTCTTCGTCTTTTACCCACTGGTCTTCGTCTTGGCCAGTCAAGCAGATCGATTCAAGGGTTGTTCCGCATGCCCGACGCTCGAGCGATGCCAGGTAGCAGCTGTCTTCTTGATAAGGGTGGAGCACCCCGTGGCTGTACCAATCTTGAGGATCGTACTCAACGGTCCGCACCAGACGGTGACAGGGCGAGATGGTCTGGGGGTCCGAGTCTTCCGAAGAATTGGAGTAAGAAAGTTCGGGGGTAGGGGATTGAGGGCTTATTCGGGATGGGCTGATGGGGATGGCGGGTGAGTGGGAGTGTAAACATGGTTGTGCCTGTATTTGGATTTGTAATTGAAACTGAAGATGTGATTGTGATTGTGATTCTTTTTGAGAGTGTGATTCTGAATGTGATCGTAATCGTAATCGTGGTTGTGGTTGTGGTTGCGATATCTGTTGTGGTTGCGATTGTAGTTGTGCTTTTAATTGGGATTGTGATAGTGGTTGTGGTGCTTCTGCGTGTGGTGGCTTTTGGTGGATGATTTCTGGTTGCTCGTTAAAGATAATAACGTGGCGTCCTTCGGGTACAGATGGTAGGGGCTTTGGGAGAGAGGTCACGGTTGGTAAGCTTGGTCGTCGTCTTGAGCGTTCCATGGCTATGTTAGGGGCTTGTAAGGGCGCGCTAAAAGAGGCAGACCTCTTGCGACTAATCTGCAGTAGTCGAAGGATGTCTGTGTTCTGTTTGGTAATTGCATGGTCAACTGCTGTTAAACCGTACTTGTCCTTAACATCGGACACAGCCCCATTCCTGAGTAACAGGTCGACAGTTCGAACACAGCCATTGATGCACGCAATGTGGAGTGCGGTGGAACCTGTCGCACCCGCCACAGCCTTTGACTTGTCATGACTATATTTTCGAGACCATCTTTTGGTTTTTTTTTACATACATATATTTTTGAGTTTGGATTTTTTTTTCAAAGAAGTGTATTGTAGATATGTACAGATTAAATGTATATGTATATATTTATATAAAAATAAGAAATTATTACTATCATTTTTCTTGCAAGAAACTTAATATAATAATAATAATAATAAATTATATATATAAGGAAAAAAAAAGTTAAAATAAAACGCCAAGCAAACAATAACATATAAGCTTAGTACAAAACTGCACTATCCTGTAAAGTATATACAATTATGTACTATGCTATATGTTTATATGACATGGCTTTATTTTTATTTTTTCTTTCTCTTTTAATATATATATATATATATATATATAAAATAATTATTCTTGTAGTGATATAGATGTAATGCTTCTTGCACATATAAAAACATGCTTGTAGTGTAGGTGGAATTGTATGTATATTTATGCCATTTGAAATGAATTGTTTCTTTAGTTATTTATTTATTTTTGCATTACCTTTGACTATTTACTTCCGCCCCTCGGTCTATAAGATATTGAACAGAGGCGATGTTTAAGTCGCTTGTACAGGCCAGTTGAAGAGGCGTGTAACCATTTGCAACTGAATTGACATCAACGCCATGATCAAGGGCAAATTTTATCAAACCTGTAAATTATTATATTATTATTTTGGTTAAATAATAATAATGATGATATGTCATGAATGTGAAATAGTATTTCATTTATTTATTTATTTTTAAAAGAAAAAGAAGAAGAAAAAGGCGAGCATATTTACCAACATTTCCAGTTGTAGCTGCCCAGTGAAGTCCAAGACAATCAACTCGTTGGGCTTCTTTGGGCATTTTTCCTATTTAGTTTATCAAAAGAAGATAGAAAAGGAAAATAGATAGATAAAGAAAGATAGGTAAAGAAGAGAGAAAGAGGAAAAGAGAGAAAGAAATAGTAGAATAGAAGTATATATATGTTATATGCTATATGTTATACGTATAAAGAAGAATTAATAAATTTTAATAAAAATATATTTTTTTTTTCGTCTGTACTCTAAAATGGCATGGACAAAGTGAGCTCAAAGCACGACAGACACAAACCGTCCGAGAGGCTGGGTGATGATCAATCTTATGTAATATATAACACTTGTGTATATCAGTAGTATAAAAATTGTAAGCCTCTAATATTTTAATTACTATAAAAATTATTATTATTATTTTTAAAGAAAAAGCAAAGAAAAATTGGTAATAGATAGATTTTTTATTAATGGATTTTGTATATATATATATAGATAGATAGATGTTAGGCAAATTTTCATATTGACATTCTCTCTTCTACAGTTGATATCCAAATTCAAATCCAAATCCAAATCTTCATAAACCAAAAGACCAGTAGCCAAGCAGCCAAGCAGCCAAGAAACTAAGCAACTAAGCAACTAAGCGAAGAAGCATGACAGAAATATATATTTATAAAAATATAGGCTTGCGATTATTATTATTTTTGGTTAGCACGTGTAGATAGGCCTTCTCTAGCTTAGATTTCTATATAACTGTCTAACTATTTAACTATCCAACTTAACTATCGTCTTAATGTAGCCGTTTTTTGCCTTCCATTTAACAAAATTAGGAATTTTCTATATAACATCTCTAATAATATCTTTTCTTTTCCTTTCTGTCGTCAGCTTGACGATTTTTCTCTCATAGTAATAATAATCATGATATGATCATTAATTGAACGATAATTAAATATCTATATATGATTTGTTTAGTTTAGTTTAGCTTGAGCTTTATTATTATATATACATGTATTCCGTGTGGGAAAAAAACACTACTAACATATAGATATTAGTTCTTTTAATTGGCTACCTCAGCCTTTCTATTATATATATTCATTTATATACCAATACATGACAAAATTGCATAATATGAAACCTCGCCATCATATACACGGTATAAATCTTCTATTTAAAAAAAATTGAAAAATGAAAATCCGTCACAATAAATCCTGCAGACATATATTACAGATTTTATAGTGACAATAATCTTTTTCTGATATTAATGATAATAATGATAATAATAATAGCGAAAATGCCAGTTTATTTGTTTGATAATCGCTGTAGTTTTATTAAGCGGTAGAAATGATGCTAAAGTCAAATAGAGAGAAGAAAAACTAAATATGTGTGCTTGTTTATAAGCACAAGAAACAAATATAAAAATAAAGAGAAAAAAAGAAAGGGCACAAACACAAGACAAAGTAGCATGTTTTTTTTAAGATAAAGTAAAATATAGTAAAATAAAATAGATGCCTAAGAAAAAAGAAGCTGAAGGAAATGAATAAATAAATTGATAGATAGATAGGTAGATAGGAGGAGGGAAAAGAAGAAAGTATAAAGAACAATGAGTTTGTGTTGTGTAAAGAGGTTTATGTTTTTTTGTGTACAATTAAAGTCGACCCTGTAAGATGTATTCGATGCTTGTATTAATCAGCTCTTTCTTCGGTGTCATATCAAACCCAAAGAAGGCACTCAATTGCTCACGCACTACGGAAATGTAACGAGAGCATTAATTAATACCAAGAAAAAAATAAAGATCTCTTGTGTGCGTGTGTGTGTAGACAGTCATTTCTCAATCTATCTTTTCTTTACCTTGCTTCTTGGTAATGCTCATCAAATTAGCTGTAGCAAGAATATTTTTAATTTCAGAAAGGATCTCATCATCCGTAGGGAATCCTGGTGGAGTCATCGGCTGTAATCCAGTCTGGGACATTGGAACTGAAAATTGACTAGCAGCCCGCACACCAATGTCTTGTAGGTGCTGCTGTGGATGCTGCTGCTGCTGATGCTGCTGATGCTGCTGTTGCTGTTGTTGATGTTGTTGCTGTTGATGTTGATGTTGCTGTTGATGTTGCTGCTGCTGATGAAGCTGTTGATGTTGATGTTGTTGCTGTTGCTGTTGAAGCTGTTGGTGCTGGTGTTGTTGTTGTTGCTGTTGTTGAAGTTGCTGCTGGTCTTGGCCGATCATTCGGTTGTTGGCCATACTACGCTGATCATATCCAGTCGGTCGTTCTCCAACCGGAATTCCCTGGACAAACTCTGGATTATGGACTGACATCGGTAATCGCTGACCATAGTCTCCGTATTCAGAGCCAGGAGAGATAACAGACCCTGCATACCCACTCATCATCGGTGGCCGTGGTCGGTTGCGTTTGTCGATAATGGCTGTGTCACGATAATAGTCATACTCGCCTACTTGACTACCGCCATATTGACTACGGTTATCATAGATGGAATGTCCCTTGGAATGGTGTGTGTGGTAGCTCTGTCCTGTGATACCTGTCTCCTTGGTTCCAATAGATCCCATCTCCCATACTTCTTGCTCATGCACACTCCATTTCTTTAGAGGAATCATCTTCTCATCATACTTTTCATCATCGGCTACAATAATTTTCTTTTGCTTGTTGTCTCCTACTACCACACGAGTATTACCCCATGAGAAGTCGTCAAAATGCCAGAACGAGTATATTGGCAGGAAAAACGAGAAGACAGGAATGGCTAGGATATAGAAAAACATCCATCCGATGTGCTGCCATTGTCGCTTTAGAATAAACAGGATGGCCTGAAGACCGTAAATACCCGCCAACATACACAACGCAAGAACAGGAAGAGGTCCGGTTTTGGAAGCAATCACATAGATCAAGTACACGAGGTAGATAACAGATACAGGTAAAGTAAGCGTACCGATCAAATCAATCAAGACAACAAATCGCATCGATAGACAACAGAATCCACAGAGATCTGGCAACAGTACAACCTCAAACAAGTTGTGGATTGTCGAATTGATCCATCGTCGTCGCTGAGACAACAACACCTGCCATCGGTCTGGGGCCACGGTCTTACACTGCGCGTGGGCAGTGAATTTCATTTTGTACTGTGGAAAGTGCTTCATCATCAACGTAGTCAAGTACCGATCCTCTCCCAGATGGAGAAGGTTTTTCTTGTGTAGCGTATCGACGTGATTGTCCGAATAATCACTAATGACCTTTGGGGAAATAATCAGCGGCTCGTTTTTTACAGGGGTTCGGATTCGGTACATGCAGAAACATCCTGGAAGACAAGTAACGGATCCAAACAGAGACTCGAATGCCTTGGCAAGATGATGGGAAATGTAGTACTCGTACACTTGGATCATCGTCGTCCACGAACCATCTTCATTCACTAGCTTAGTCTCACCGCAGAGACCAATGATTCGACCATCGTGGAGCATACAAGAGATCATGTGATTTAGTGCATCCGGCAGAACCTCGGTGTCCGAGTCTACCATGAGAATGTACTCGTAAAACGATGGATTGACACCAATCACGTTCTTGATTTGATGGTACACTTCCAACTCTAAAGGGGTCATCTCGCCATCGAAATGGACCTTGTTCAAAAAATTCATGCAAATCATCTGCGAATCACGCTTTCCACGATTACCAGGTTTTGCACGTTCGGAAGCCTTGCCGACCTTGGCAATGACCACATAAGGCACAACATGTCCTTCGCATTCGTAGAGTCCAGAGTAAACTTTGCCATAGTTGAGCTGCTTGCTTCCTTCACCAATTGACTTGAACATCAAGGGTTCCGGGTCGTTTTTAGTGTCGTATCCCAGGACATCGAGTACGATACGGGGGGTCGGCCTGTCGTTACCGCTGCCCATGATCATGCCGTCTGCAATGATTAGCAGCAGCTTGCGCTTGTCGTCATAGTTTAGCACAGTGAGCGAGTCGATAGTCTTTCGAAGGGACTCCTCGTCTTCGGTGTAGCACGGCACCTGGCAAATCACAAATTTGTCGTGGTCTTCTGGAGTAGGCGCACCACCAAACTGAAGGGCGGCCAAGAACTTGACAAAGATCACAAAGCACATGAGTACGGCAAAAGAGAGCAGCAAGAAGTTTGTGAATGTACAGCGTAAGGTCTCGCGCTGATCGACATCGCCAATATAAAAGAAGTTGTCTAGGCAGTTCATGTTGAGAGCCTGGTCCTCGACTGACATTGAGTTTTTGTACTGGTTCCACTTGTCTGTTGCGTCTGTTCCACTGAACTTGCTAAAGATCTCCTCGACCGTACTGTGCAAATAATGGTAATCGCTTGCCGTGGATCCAGTATCGTAGGTCTTTGCGGTTGCCATGTAATCATTGATGTCGTACACTCTTCCATTTATCGCGATTGCCAGACGTCCCCAGCCTTGGAAATCAGCTTGGAGCTGTTTAATAGGAATGACCACTTTACCCTTTTTGTAGAGCGTCAGTTGAGGTTCAAAGTAGCTCCAGTACCAGCGTGGATCTTTCATTTTTGTCAGGGTTGGGATTGTGAGTTGGTCTCCAGAGTTGTGAACAAAGGTTCCGATCACATCCGACACGTTCGGCATGACTTTGATGGTTGGCGAAGTTACCAAGCCTTCACAGGCAGATGTCAGGGGTGGCGGGATGGTATAGGACACATCCAGGCCGGCGAGTTGGTTCATTGTGTCTTTGTTAGCCGGAAGAGCTGTTGTTCCATGGCCTGTGATCGCAAAGCTTGTCATGTCGTATACAGAGCCGCGGACCATCATGTACATATCGTCGGCTGTCGCATGGGCCTGTACATTCGAGACCGAGTACATGTCCTTTGTGCCCGGACAGATGACTTCTCCAAGACCGACGATGACAAAGATGACCATGCTCGAGAAAAAGGCAATCAAGATACAAAGCGTGACCTTTTCACGCCAGGCCATCTGAACATCTTCACGCTTCATCTTTCCAAGGATTCGTAAAAGGAAAGATGGGATCCACCAGGTTGTCATCCAAACGAAACGTACCCACCAGATACGTACGGCTGTGATAGGCATTTCTTCTACTTGTTCATTCTGCGGTACGTGGTAGTCTTCTACCATTTTACTCATATCCATATTGGGGCCAAATCTATTAAGACATTATTGAGAGTAAATTTCTGTATGTACATATACATATACATATACATACATACATATATATATATATATATATATATGTATGTATGTGCGTGTATGTATGTCTATACGAATCTCTTAGCTGTGTATCTATCTATCTATGTATCTATCTACTGATTTTCAAAGTATGTATGTAAAAGTGTGCAAATAATAATAACAATTTTTAAAGAAAATAAATAAAAATAAAAATGTATTTACCCTTCTGCTAACCCCTTGACTCCCCACTCGGATTCATCTCCCCATTGAGATCCTTCCATTTCTCGCTTCATGCCATCGTCACTCTCAGCATAACTGGCGCCGTCTTCATAAACAGACGCATGGGCCAATGAGGCCTGCTGTACGGGATTTTCGGGGTCAATTTGTGGCAAGAGAATATCTTGCCTGGCATAGTTTGTGGTGGCCATGGCACGAGGATCTTGTGTCGGCTCGATCGGGCCCTTGGCTCGCTCTCTCTCCTCTTTTTCGTAAGCACGGAGACCGTCCTCAAGTTCTCGCCAGATCTCATAGGAGAGCCAGACCATGTCATTGCCAATGTAAACCTGGGTCTCGGCCCAGTTCATCATCGCCCGGATCACATCGACCTGGCCGCGCTCAGGCTTTGTGCTGTCGATCTGGAGCGAGACTGCGAGGCGCTCGTACCGCATCAGGAATTCATTAAACGTATAATAGCTTGCGTATTCCTGTCGACACCGGACAGCAAGTTCAGGAAGCAACAACGAATGGACCTGGGCCTTGACCCGCTTGACGTCGAACAGGTCAGGAGACTGGCTGTCATTGGGCCGGATGTGGAGAATGTGGTACAGTCGGGTGTCGGCCATGGTGTTAAACAAATCGCGCAGGGTCATGTAGAGCTGATCAATGATCGTTGTGGTCTGCATATTGTGGTACGTGTCATCTGCATCCTTGATCAATTTCTGTTTTCTTGTGTCATCTTCGGCTTCCACGTTCTCATTCGCATCCGTTCCCCGGCGCTTGGCATTCCGTTTGGTAGATGGCGACCGGGTTGGTTTGTTGGTAAGCTGGGCCTTGACGATGGTTCGGTCGTCCTTGGGGTGGGACTCGGTCGACATGGCGGTGCTCTGGAATAAGGTCGACACAAAGGTGTTGGTGCTGTTGTCTCGCAGCAGGTTGACAAAATCAGGCGAGAGGTCGTCGAGGTTCTTTTCCAAGAACGATTCGACTGTGTAGTGGACCGTGCCTGCGAAATGGTGAATACCAAAGGAAAACGCGTGGGCTGACTTTGCAAATGCAGCGTGCGAGCCATACTGTCTTTGGAGATTTGCAAGGAAGTTGGCATCCGTTGCGTCAGTAGCGCCCATCTGGAACTTTGCACAGTCCCGGTCGAGAACATTGACAAGACCACCTAGGCCAAGAACGGCAGACCGGCCGGTATTCTTCTCGCGTGTGTCCTTTTCTTTTCCGATAAGAAGATCAGAGCAGGCCATGGTGTCGACCAGGACTGGTGCGACCGGAACTCGGTCACGGGTCATTATTCCTGGCAGACCCTTGTGATCATCGAAGCGCTGGCTAACTACAAACTGGTGGACACGTTCGTTTGCAAAGTTTGTGCAGAATTCCTCAAAGCCATTGTTCTTGAAGTTCTGAAAACCAAACTGGTCCAGGATACCGATATAATTTGCGGCTTCCCGGTCACTGTAGCATATCTTTGTGTTCATCGACTCGACCAGCCAGAGAAATAGTACATGGTAAAGAGCGCGTGCAAGAGAATCGCGCTGTTCTGCTGCGCCCTGGGGGTTCATGAAGATGGTGCAGAGTTCGGTTCGGATGAGTCTGAGTTTGTAGGTCAGGGAAGTCTCGAGTTTTGAAGGAGAAACGCCGAGCATTGCAGATACGGTGTCGAGGATGTCTCGGTTCCTGACGCTGCAGGCTTCTTGTGCGGCCACGCCTGTTTCGTAGTGTCCGGCAAATTGAAGATTCCCTAGGTGGAGGATGGCAGCCAAGAGCTGGAAGATCTGAGAGACTGTTTTGGCCTTGAAACCACAGACCTTGAGTGCGCTCTTGAGATCACCAAAGGCAATCTCGTCATTCAATTCAGGGACTTTGATTGATCTGGACTGGTTAAGATAGTGAAAATGCTCAGGGGGAAAGTTGATGTGGAGTGCTGTCTTTTCGTCAACACTTGTTCCGGCTAGTAAGGAGTAGAAGATGTGAAAGCTGCGTTCATCTTTTGGGACATGGGTTACTCTGGTTTTGTCAAAGGCATAAGCAAGGATCTTGGCTCCCTGAATACGGCCCCGTTCACTGAATTGAAGCTCCTGAAAGATACCAAACTTGGAAGCAGATGTATTCTGGACAGTCCGGCAGTGACCAAATGCTTCGAGAATAACAAGACCATGCTTGATTTGCATCTGTAGTTTGGTTTCTTTTTTACTGTGAGTGGACAAGAGCAGCAGCTGGGTAAGCAGGTGGGTACGAGTCGTACTTTTTCCCGATCCAGTAATGCCACTAAATCGTTCAATAGAGAAATATTTAATACAGGTATAAGTAAGTATAGCTTGTTCGAGTGGCCTTGAATGTAAGGGACTCGATGCAATATAGGTAATACCCAATAGACTATGTATTTCTCTCTCTCTCTCTCTCTCTGGGTGTGTGTGTATGTGTATGTGTATGTGTATGTGTGTTTGTGTGTAGGCTTTATGGGTGTATATATGGGTGTTTTTTCTTTCTTACTCCACCCCTTTCCCCCCCCCTCCCCCTTCCCCTAATCAACTCCATCTTGTCTCTCTATTTCTGTCCTTCTTTTTATTTATATATATATATATATTACTTTTTGCTTTAGTGTGCTCTCCTCAAAACAAGGCTCCCATGTACTGCTATTTTATTTTATTTTATGTTATTTTATTACCTTAATAGAATACTCTGGTCTTCTCCAGACCGGCGCATGTGAAAATAAGCACGGGCGGCCAATTCGTAGACATGCGGTTGCAGAAATAGTCGCTGCTCAGATACATTTCTGTAGCCAGTGTCAGCATAGGCTTGCAATGTGGCATCGTTCAAGATATCGAGTGGTTGATAGGGATTTACGACGATTAAATTAACTTGACCCACGCGGGTGTAGGGTTGGTTGCGTTTGTGTCTACTTTGGAGCAAACTGGTGACACTCTCTTCGGAGGGTGGCTGGCCCGTGCTGACAAGACACTTCAAATCAATACGAGCGTCTTCCTGCATGATTAGTTCTCGTCCAGAATGGATGAGATGAGCTGTGGCAAATGGCAAGTCAAAGAAGTGAGTGAGAAAGAGAACTAAAAAAAAAAGAAAACGGAGGAAATCTTGTGGCAGGTCTTTTTTATTCAAGATATTCTTTATTTTTATATTAGTGTATTTTATTCTATTTTACTTTATTTTATTTGAAAAAAACCAAATAGATCCCCACATCCTTCCTGCAGCCATTTCTTTCTTTTCTTTTCTTTTTCAAGAAAAGACAAATATCCCTTTGGGGGCAAAACACAAGAACAAAAGAAAAAAGAAACCAAAATAAAAATAAAAAATGCAAAAGGTCAAAGTTGGTCTTTACAATAAGAATAAGAGTATGAATATGAATATGAATATGAATATGAATGAAAGCAATTTGTTACTGATATTAATGCAAGAAGTACTTTTGTGACAGATAGATATGTATAGCTTTAAGATTAGATAAACAGACTTTATGCGTCTTTATATCAACATTGGTGCTCTTTTACTTTCACAACAAGGCTATCTGACAGGAAACCATATCAAAACGAAAACAAAAGGCAAAATATAAAAAGAAAGATTCCAAATACCCTAAGAATAAAGGAGGTGATGCGCCTCCCAGACCACCACAAGTCCGTTGTCTCTTGCTATTCTCGCCCTTCTCTCACTGTGTGTGTGTGTATATTGGTGTGTTTATTGGTGTATGTGTGGGTGTGGGTGTGGGTGTGTATTGATGTATATATTTATATATTTATATATCATTATTCTCACCTAACGATGCATAATAGAGACCTTATTGGAAAACATAGGAGACTACTATGGACAGTCTAGTACAGTTGTCTATAAAGCAAACAATTAAATACAAATAAATGTATGCATATATACACATATACATTTATGTATCGCAGTAATCATTATTAGATGTAGAGAATGCTTCTTTAACGTTGAAGATAAATCAAAAGCCTCTTGTGATTTCTTGGAGATCCTTAAAGAAGGCATCTGTGGATCATATAATATACCAATACATTATGAAAACAATAGCTTACATATAAAAGAAAGAGGATAAGACAAAGATATATACTTTATTATTTGATATTACTACCACTACTACTACTATTGTTATTATTATTATTATTATTATTATTATTATTTATACAATATACATATGTAAATATTTTTGTAGGCTTATCTTTGAAAAGCTTTGCTAGTTTATAAATTTACAGCTGATGTACAAGAGATACTAATTGAGGATTTCACCATGAGAAAATATTGAAAAAGAAAGTAAGAATTACACGCACACTGATATGTGTATATATCAAGACATTTACTTTCAAGGCAAAGCAATCTTCTTGTCTGATCGGTTTACCGAGTGCTCAACATCTGGCTTTTCTCTGTACTCCGCCGTGACACCAATGTGGGCAATAACGGACTTTGCATCTTCCTTGAACTCATCTGTAGCAAACAAGATCTCGATTTGCTCCAGGGATAGACCCTTTGTTTCAGGAAACCAGAAATAGACCATAGGGATGAAAACGATGTTAAAGGCAGCAAATAGAATGTATGTCCAGTAACTGAGATGTTCAAACAGGATAGGCGCAATCATAGCGACTACAAAGTTGCCAAGCCAGTTGGCAGCCGTCGAAAGAGAGTTTCCTTTTGCCCGTAAGCCAGTAGAGAAGATCTCGGCCGGATAGAGCCATGCCATACTCAACCAACTAGCCCCGAATACAAAGTTGTAGAGCATCGTAAAGGCTGCTGCTGCATTTCCACCCGCGCTGTAACCATCAAAGCCGGCCTTCTGACACCCTCCAATGCAAACCAATGTAATCGTCTGGGTGACCAGTCCCCAGAGCATGATCTTGCGTCGGCCAACTCTTTCTACCAGAAATATCGGAACCAGAGATCCAAGGATATAGACGATTGAATCGACACCAGCCATCAACATAGCCATACTGTCTGACATGTTGGCTTGCTTGAACACACTGACAAGATAATATGTTGTCACATTGATTCCACATAGCTGCTGGATGATCTGACTGAGCATCCCGATGCACACTCTGTAGCGATTATTGAACTTTCCTTTGGTGAATAGCTCCTTGTAAGACGAAATACCCTCACGACGCTCAAGTTCGATTCCTTCCTTGATTTCCTGATACTCGCCCAAGCAACGTGGATGGTTAACATCGCCGTCTGACCATAAACAAGCCAGGACCTCCTTTGCTTCGTCATCTCGGTCATGGGACACCAGCCAGCGTGGGGTCTCTGGCAGAACAAAGGTGCCAGCAATCAACAACAGGGCAAACACGTTCTGGAAGGCCAAAGGAAATCGCCAGGCAACTTCTCCAGAGACAAAGAACAGACCATACTCGAGCCAATATGCGATTCCGATACCAATCACCAAAAGTGTGCACTCAAAGCAAATGTGTGCACCGCGAGACTTTGGAGGCGACATCTCTGACTGGTAGACCGGAACAGTGGCAGTGTTCATACCGTTTCCAAAACCAGTGAGGATACGCGAGACAATTGTCATGCCAACATGAGTAGTAGCGGTCTGGATAACAGCGCCAACCACCAGAATAACACATCCAAGACGGATCGTATTACGGCGGCCCAAGATGTCGCTCAGTCTGCCAGTTGCCAGGGCACCAAACATACATCCGATTTCGTACAATGCGACGATTGCACCCAGAGTGGCAGAGTCAGGTCTTCCCATTAGATCCAGAAATCCTTCATTGGTTACGATACCAGACATTACACCCTTTGTTTAAATAAATATATAGAGCATAAAAAGGTGAGTAGCCAAGTTCTTTGCTGTTGTTTCTTCTGGTTTCAAGTTTGACAACCAAACATATACTTACTTGATCATAGCCAAAGAGTAGAAACCCAATGGCAGCCAATATGGTTGAGGCATTGAATAGTGCTTTTCCTTTTAAATTGAACATGAATTAAGTGAGAGGTAAGACTTGATAAACCCACGTCTTCTTATTTATACTTTATTTTATTTTACATAATTTTTACACACACACACGTATGCTTATGTTGTGAAGATTTGTACATCTTTTGTCTTTGTAGTATATGTGTACAAGATGGTACAAATATGCCTGGTATAATTGTTAGCGTCATTTACAAACCTAGTTTGCAAATGTAAAATCTGGGGAAATCTTGTTATTTTCTGAATTACAAGATTTGTACAACCCTGTACTGGAAATATGGCTTTCAATATGCTATAATCCAAAAGTTTGCTTTAATGATAGTTCTATATAGCATGAATACCATTTTCTTTTTCTATTTATTTGTTTTGATTTTGATTTTGATTTTATTCTATGTAACCTGCGGATAAACTTTTATCGTTCTTTATATGATTTTATATATATATATTTCTTATGTCAGTGTGTGCGCTGTATATTTTTGTATATATTCAAATGGCCCAGGCTTTTAATGAGATATATTCTTGCTTTATAGTCTGTCTGTCTGTCTGTCTGTCTGTCTGTCTGTCTGTCTGTCTGTGTACCTTTTATTAGAGCACATATTTGAAATATTCACAAAAAATATTTATTTATTTATTTAATAATTTATTTAGCTTGGCGGTGTGGCTTGTTCATTTTGGATCAGAAAACACCTTTAAAAATATTAACTTTATATACTTTACTATTACGATTATCTTGAATTTTAGTAAATATTTAACAGCTTGATAGTGATAAGTAATAATGAATGTGCTTAATGAGACTATGGTTTTTTATTTTGAGTTTTATGCTGGGTTTTATAATACACTATATTCATATTACGTAAAGTCGGAGTCATTATGAACAGGGTGAATACAGGTGAAAATCCGATAAAATTTACCAGCCTTTGGAGTGAATGTACCTGAAATTCATTGCACTGTTACATCAAAACCTTCAAAAGACAGAATTCCTAACCTCTATTATACGTATATACATGTATATTTCTTCCAAGTGACTCGCTCCAACTACTTCTTTGATAATACTAGTATACAGATATTCATGGTTACTGTGTGTCTTTCTTTTATTACCAGAGTTTAAACAATATATATATATTGAAACCATTATTTTGTATGGCTTTAAATTCTATAGTCCATGGTTAACAACTGTTGATATAAAGACTCTTTGCTTCTTAGTTTTTATCAACGCTATATAATGGGTAATATTTTGGATGATGCTGAAGTATCACGCTAGTTCAAATTCATTCAAACTAGTGTGGATCTCATCTTTTCTTCCCTCTCCACAATTATTCCCACGATGATGGTTACAGCGGGGAGTGTATAAGACTAAGAAGAATAAGAAGAATAAGATGCTGTTCTCAGATTATTCATTTTATTTTGTAATATATATAAAATAAAATACTTGCGATCTGGCTTTATGTTTCCTTTAGAGAAATTCAGTCATGTCCCACCTGTGCTTGGATCATTCATTCGTTTAGAATATGGAATTGACCGCTATGATGAGATGGAGAGAAACAGCCATTTATGACCTTATTAGAATATCTCTTATGAATAATCGAGGAATATAATGTATGCATTTCTATTATCTATAGATATTCGCCTGTTCCCAGAGAATTACACTGCTATAAATGTATATTTATTATATGTATTTGTGCTTTAGCTTGAGCTTGAGCTTGAGCTTCTTTTATCAAATCAAATATATCATATAAAAAAAACAGCCCAGTATATTTAATCTCTCTATCTTGTATCAGCGCAAGCTTATTCTTGGTAAAAACACTCTACGTTTTTCCTTTGGCTTTAATGCTATACCATGCAACTTTCTCATGGCTAATAACTTCTCTCTTTCAGAAGAAAAGAGATATATCTTGTGAAGCCAAACTTCTTGCTAATAGGCCTGAGTGTTCTTTTATATAATAGTTTAGTAAATAAAAGAAAAGAAAATGGGGAAGCTCAATAAAAATACACATGTTTCTACTGAAAATTTTGATATTTTATGTTCATAATTCGTATCATATCTCATACAGTGAACTTTAGAAAGGATAGATTTATATTTCTAACTGACATTGTAATACATGTTAGCCAAGAATCTTTAATGGTGTTACGTTAAAGCTAACTAGGTTGAGATACTTGTGCGCAAAGTAAGATATCCACAACAATCCAATATTATCATAAATAAAATGTATAATTTTAATTTTGTTTGCTGATTTGACGTTTCTTGTTCTTTCCATTTCTTCTTCGGGTATTGATTGAAGGGAAGCATCTATCTTGATATAATGCATATGTGACAAGTTGCGGTGAAGTGATTCAATGTCGGTCATGAAAATATTCTGGCCGTGTTCGATAGAAGACATTTGGTAAATCGTGAGATGAACAAGACAAATCAATTTGGATAGTTTATTGAAGATACTTTCTAGTGCAAGACCTCTGAAATCAAAATGTAATGTCAAGTGGGCTAATATGTCGAAAATATTCCAATTGATTTTGCCTCCAGTAAATTCCTTCATTATACCTTCATGCTAGGAAAAATACGTTATTCTGTTATACGTTGGCTGTAATAATGAAATATATTCAGGGTAATATTTTCCTAAATTAATATCCAGCGTCCACGCTCGATACGCATCCTTTGTACAGGCTTCTTTAATCCTGAATTCATCGATTATCGTAAATATAGTAGTATTGTCAATAACAAGTTTAGCCCAATAAGTGCTTAAGGGTGGTTCTTTCCATTGCTTACAGACTAGACCACAGTTACCTCGTTCTTGTCTTTCAAAATACGTTGCCAAATATTGGAGAATATTTCTTGGTAGTTTTGTTGCCATTGTGGCATAAAAGTATAAAAAAAAGTTAGTTAGTTATCACATTAAATGTATATCTATTAACTTATACTTTGACGTAAAACAATGTGGACATTTAGGGCTTTATTTGTATACCTCGAGTATTGGTGACAAACCCTTCTTTTGCTTTATACTTTTTACTCTTGATTTTTCTATTGCCGCTTGGAAATACGTAGCTATGGAAACATATCACATATATACAATATACCTATATTAACAATCTAGTATGCTAAAAAAAAGTGGCGATATTGCTTAAATTCGCTATAAAATAGCTCAAAGTTTGTACAATTCTTTTACACACATCATTTAATATATATATATTATAGATAATATCGCTCACAATCCGATTTCTTGATTTTTCTCTTCTTTTCCAAAGTCATAACTCTTGCCCTCCCCAAAATGACTAATGGATATACCTAGTTTTTCTTCTTATAAAAAAGGGACCGAGATCCGAGCTTATTTGAAAATAACCTTATTCCAATTAACCAATGATACACTTTCTGGTCTTTTATAATATTCGATTTTTGATAAGAATCTATTTTACCGTGTTCTTCTTATTTTTTTTTTAAAAAAAAAGGTCCCTTGTGATTGGGTTGTTTTACTCAAAGTGCTTCAGATTATTGGATTTAGTTTCCAAAAAAAAAAGACTAAACGCTCAAAGTATTTCTAGTGGAGAGAATACAGGCTCTTTTTTTTTGTATTCCTCACTGAGAAATACACAACTCTTAGGGTATCCGCAACGGTTACTTTTCAGAAAGACTTCATATATAATTTAGATTAGCCATATAAAACATTAAATACAATTCAAAAAAAAGAGCGTTGTGATAAATTCTACAGAGAATAAGATAGAGATACAGCAAAGATTGGATTTGAGATCAAGAGCATACTTTGGTGGGAGATTATATTATGCTTTTGGGGTTTGTGATTGTGACAAGGAGAAGAATAGATGAACTTCTTTAAAGTCTATATAAAATGATAAAAAGATAAAGAAGGTTGCTCTAATGATTTTTGCATGACCCTCAATATATATATATATATATATAAAAGATATACCTTATGTAATTTGACCTATGGCTAATTATTTAATTAATTTATTTCTTCCAAATTTTCAAAAACTAAATTAGACACAAAGTCTCAGAAAGAGCTTTACATGTGTGTGTGTATATAGTGAGTATGTAATTAACTTGATGTCGATCTGTTCAGACTTTTATGACCAATATCAAAATAAATCAAAATAAAAAAAAATAAAAAACTGGTGTATACAAAATGTATAGACCATTTCTTGGATTTGCATTCTACACCACACTCTTTTTCTCTCTTTTTAGTAGGATGAAATTAGCGTATGGTTGGGATCGATATCGAATACTCTAGATGACTAAACTTTGTATTGGTCTGTTTTTTTTCTTCTTTTAGTTGAAATTTAGGCAAATAGAATTATATGTTAAGGTCAATTAGAGGTATATCTGATACAAATAAATGTTTAATTAGATTTGGGATTTGTGTGATTTTTATTGGTAGATACAAAAGATATACAGTTTCTTTGATATAAAATAAAGAAAGAAACAAGGGTCCAAATACACAGGCTCACTGTCATCATATACTACATATATTATCTATTTGATATTTCTTTTTTCTTCTTCTTCTTTAGTGATCAAGATTAGAGTGTATATCTTTATAGATATATATATATATATATATATATATATATGGGTAGAACTTGAATGTGTAACCGCTTTTGCCGAGCACGGCTGATTATTATTAGTAGTATTATTATTATTGGCTATTTCATGTTAATTGAGACAACGTGGTTTGTTGCCATGACATTCTTCTTTATTGGGTGGACTTGAAATGTCTTGTAGTGCAATGAAGAATTTCCAATAAAAAAAAATGACATTCTCTAATAAGTCGATCAAACATAACTACACCAGGCAAATTAACCTTTGTTTTCCTTCTCTTATTCTTCTATTATATTTATATTTATATACATAAAAATAACAGAATTCTTGCTTGAAATCTCCACTTTATTAAGTACAATTTTGAATGTCTTATTTTAATTTTTGAAAAAATAATAAAATAAAACGTGTTGATAAATATATATATTTGGCGCACAAGTTGTTGTTTTTTTTTAAAAAAAAAAAAATTAAAATAAGATTGTATTACAAAATGAAATAAAAAGTAATAGCCTACATTTAAGAGTATACGATAAAAGATAGACATACAAAATACACTATAATGATATGATTCCATTATTCTGAAATGGTGCTGTAGATCAAAAATTGAAACCACCCAACAAACCTAGATAATGTTAATAGAAAGAAGCAATTGTACCTTTCTTTTTTTTTTTTTGATCAAATTAACGCCTGTCTTCCTTAAATCATGTTATAAACATTTAAGCTTCTCCTATTTTCCCTTTTTGTTGTTGTTGTCTTTTATTCCTTCAAAAACTAATTGGCAAATAAGATGAGGGTTCTATTGTCTTTGTCAATAGAGTCACACCCGACTATCAGAATAAGAATACATATCCATTATCATATAATATAAAACAGGCTCTATTATACATATTTAATAGTTTATTATAGATGTGTTTTATGCAAACAAGAAATATTCTTAAAGATTGAAACGATGCATTTAATTGAAACGCGTAAAGAGACACTAATTTTATTTTTATTTTTATTTTTATCTGAGAATTAAAACGCAGTACAATAAAACAAAATAAAAATATATAAATCGTGACTGCTGATTGTTATTTCTATCTTATTTTTATTTTTAAAAGGCCTATAAGGCTAAAAGGATATAATTAGAATTTAAATTCCGTCAAAGAGAAAAAAAAACGACATCATTTCTGTTTAAAGGCATAATTTAACAATTAGGAGCCTCTTTTTTTTTCTCTTTTGAATTTAGCGGAGATTATCTCAAGACAATTTATAGTCCGAATATAATTTATTTATTTATATTTTATACTTTATACATCATCATATTCATCATACACATCATATCATATACATCATAGGCACACAGATATACAGATAACTGTCTATATAAATATTAGCTTTAGAATTTGTATTATTGATTTGCTGTCATTACTAGATTTATAATAGGTCTTTTTTTTATTTTATTTCTATAATTTACTTCTTTTCGTTTCCTTTTTTGGCCTTTTATTTTTTACTCTATTATACTCTTGCTCTCTTTTGTGTATTTCTATATTATAATAAATATATTTAGATATAAAAATGGCATGTTTCTGTATTATTATTATTATTATTATTATTACTATCATTACTTTCAGCACAGAAATATATATATATATATATATATATATACTGATGATGATAGTAAATATCTTTTTTTTTCTCAACTAGATTCTATGCTTGTACTGGGTAAAATGCTTATGTTAAAGGAGTGTTTAAAGTAATACAGATATTATTGTTTAATATGACAAAAAAGAAAGAAAGAGATTCTTGTAATAAATATTTGGCATTTGACTCTTATTTTGCCAAGAATTCTTTATGTGATTGATGATATATTTATTGTAATTAGAGAAATAAAGCATCAAAATGAAAAGTGCATATAATAGATATACATCTTATTTGTCCTTTCTTGGTGTGCTTAGATAAATCAATAAGAGGAATTCATACAAAAGACACCTTTAACCAAACCAACAAACATCAATATGTTTATCTAATGGCCCTGATGTTGTTTCGAGAATAAGAACAAAGTCGAACCCACAGGTAAGGATATAGGTGCATATTGAAATAAATAAAATAAAATAAAATAAAAAAAGGATCGACGTTTATCATTGTATAAAGAAAGATTGTCTCGCATGACTTGGTGGCTTCCGATATCCACGGAAGGGTTTTATTTCGGCTATAATTTAATGTGTTACATATGGAACATCAAGACTAATAATATCAAAGGGCTTGGCAACATCCAAAAAAATAAATAAAAAATTATGTAAATTTAGAGTAGAATTATAGTGTAGTATTTTTGGGGTTTTTATAGGAAATAAAGAGAGACTGAGGGGGAGGTTGATGAAGGTATCAAAAGGAGTGAAGGGGTCAAGTAAAAAGAGGGGTAGAGATTGTGTTGAATTCAAAACAAGATGCTTTTATTCACGACTTGGACTGTGATCTTAGATGATAAAGAAGCATAAGCCAAAAAAGATAAAGGGCATTTCTTGTCAAGAATTCACATACCAGCCAGCAAAATTGTACTCTAATAGAACAAGAAGGGCGGTTGATATGCTACGATTATTTTAGTTGAATGCAAATGAAACAAGAGGCTCACCTCGTGTAATCACAAGAAGCCAATCTTTTTTTTTTTTATTTTATTTTATTTTACTTGTCCGACAATGTAATATATTACAATATATTAGCTAAAAGTAGTGTCTTGTATTGGCATTAGCTCTATTGGCATTAATTAGTGTGGTTGAGTATAATTATTTTATTTTATTGTAAAAATGAATATGAAGAATAACTAGCCTTTGTTATTTTCTTTGTTTTCGGCTGGTTGAGATTCTAGCCAAAAGACTAAAAGACTAAATATAATATATATTTTTGGGGACCTTCCAAGACTTGGGTGCAAGGGATCTGCAAAAAGAATATAAGCGGAATTTTGGGCGGATTTGATGATGAGGTGCGCGCTTTTCATTGGAGGTTCCGACTTCCATTTCTTGGCTGTCCAAAAAAAGAAAGTGCAAAGTGTGCGTGTGTATAAATATATACAAAATAAAATAGAGGGCGAGAAAGTCTGTGCAACTTCATTATATAAATAGCCTTAAATTTTTCACCGCCTTGTCTTTTTTTTTTCTTGTTCTTTTTTTCTTTTCTTTTCTTCCTTGCTTTTATTTAATTTCATAAGCTTCATCTCATCTCTTTCATCTCATCTCTACTCTTTCATCCCAAAACACAAAAAGTCCTTATACCATGAAAGCCCTTATTCTTGTTGGAGGTAACCAGAAAACACATGGGCATTTCAATACTCAAACAAAACAAAATGACATGTACAAAATCAAATCAAATCAAAGCAAAGCAAAGCAAATAAACGCGCAATATGCTTATCTCTATCTTTCTTTGTATCATCTTAGGTTTCGGTACTCGTCTCAGACCCCTCACCCTCACTCTCCCAAAGCCTCTCGTCGAGTTTGCCAACAGACCCATGATTCTCCATCAGATTGAAAGTCTAGCAAAGGTAAGAATATCAGTGTATTTCTTTTTTGGGTGGTATAAAAGAGGGGAGAGAGGATACTTGATATTCTACAGAATACATATGTATTATCGTATCATATAGACTGACAAGCAAATTCTAACCATAATCTTAATAATAATAATTAAAGGCTGGCGTCACTGATATCGTATTGGCTGTCAACTACCGCCCCGAAATCATGGTGGCTGCACTGAAGGAGTACGAGAAGGAATACAACGTGACCATCACCTTCTCTGTTGAGACCGAACCTCTTGGCACAGCTGGTCCTCTTGCTTTGGCTAGAGAGATTCTCTCCAAAGACGATAGCCCATTTTTTGTATTGAACAGTGATGTCATTTGCGATTATCCCTTTGAGCAGCTGAGAGATTTCCATATCAATCACAGAAACGAGGGTACCATTGTGGTAAGTGCCGCTAAATTATAATACATTTTATACTTGTATTTAGTTCTCATACTGTTCATCTTCATAGGTCACAAAAGTAGACGATCCTTCAAAGTACGGTGTCGTTGTCAACCACTCTTCATCAACAAAGATCGACCGTTTTGTTGAGAAGCCAAAGGAGTTTATCAGCAACAAGATCAATGCTGGTATCTATATCTTTAACCCCACTGTCCTTGACCGTATTGAGGTATAGATTCTTCTCTATTTATTTATTTATTTATTTATTTATTAGCGGGATACTGCGGGATTTATGTTGTGCTTTATTTTATATTTTATTTTATATATAAAATATATTTTATTGGGCGGTTTTACTAAATAAAGTTAAATATTATAGTTGAAGCCCACTTCAATCGAAAAAGAAATCTTCCCAAGAATTGCCCAGGATGGTCAGCTCCACACCTTTGATCTCGATGGATTCTGGATGGATGTCGGCCAGCCCAAGGACTTCCTGACCGGAACCTGTCTCTATCTGACCCACATGTCCAAGAAGCACCCCCAGGAACTCGCCAACCCAAGCATCGACTATGTCCACAAGGGTAACGTGCTTGTCCACCCAACCGCAAAGATCGGCAAGGACTGCCGTATCGGTCCCAATGTCGTAGTAGGTCCCAACTGTGTTATTGGTGATGGTGTGCGTCTGCAGAGATGTGTGATTCTCGAGGGCGCCAAGATCAAAGACTTTGCCTGGGTCAACTCTAGCATCGTCGGCTGGCACTCTTCAGTTGGTCGCTGGTCTCGACTCGAAGGTTGCTCTGTTCTCGGTGACGATGTCACAATCAGCGATGAAATCTATGTCAACGGTGGCTCAATCCTCCCACACAAGACTATTTCTGTCAACATCACTGAGCCCCAAATTATCATGTAGATATATATAATACTTTTTCTTTCTTTTTATATTATTTTTATTTTTATTTTTATTATTTTTATTATTATTCGTCCTCTATCCCTCCATCTCTCCCTCTCTTACTTTTCCCTCTTACCACTTCTTTTACCCTCTTCCTTTTCTTTCGCCTTATCCTATTCTATCCTATATTACTATTATATATATATATATACTTCTTATATTCTTCACAAGCTTACACACACCAACCAAAACCACAACTACAACATCTTCAATTCAATTCAATTCAATTCTAATTCTTTTTTTTTCATATAAATTTATATTAAAAAAAAAGAAACCAAAAATTAAACCAAAAAAAAAATCAGCAAATTTTACATTCAAAAAAGAATATTTACTTCTTGCCTACTCTCTTTCTCTCTCTCTCTTTTTCTTTCTTTTTTTTTGATATTTAAATTGTATTTTGAATTATTACTCTAAATTTATTTATTTATTTATTTTAATGCATAATTGAAACATAATAATAATAATAATCGACACATTTTTGAAACACAATTTTTACAAATACACCAAAATACTTCTTTTTCATTCAAAATAATATGAATGAATATATCATACTTTTTGTGAAAATTATGACTCACACACATCTTATGATAAAGAAGAAGACATGATTTATGTAGAAAACCCACAAACCCGGCAATAAAATCACTGCAATGTTGTGTATGTTTGTTTGTTTGTATGCATGTATTTTATTTATTTATTTAATTATTTAATTTTATTTTTATCCTGAATGCATATCATTGCTGCGGATAATTGCTTGTTCCATAAGAGAATCCAATTCTCGTTGAAGCCTTGCCTTGGAAGCCTCATCAATCTTCCACGCATTCAAGGTTTCGTAAGCTTTTCGAACATGTTCAATTGAGTGAATGTACGGGCAGGTATCCGAACGGCTATGTTGCGAACAACACAGCAGGCACTTGTAAAGTTGGCCTTCTCCACTTTCACCAGTACCACTAGCTACAGGAACATTCGCATTAGAGAATTGCTGTGCCTGTTTTGTTTTCCGTGCCCTTGATGATGAGGATGAGGATGCTGGTGCTGGCGCTGGTTCCGGTGCCGGTGCCGGTACTGGTACTGGTACTGCTGGCGGTGGTGGCGGTGGCGGTTGCGGTGCTGATTCGTATTGACCTTGAAGATAAGACTGGCGTATCAGTTGTTGTTGTTGCAAGAATAGAATATATTGCTGTTGGTCTTGAGTATAATTATAGTGCGGGTTTGGAGCATAATGATATTGTTGGGTTTGAATATAATTATGCTGGTGGTTTTGAGTATAATTATGTTGTTGATACTGATATTGATATTGGAGGATATTTTGCTGTTGCTGTTGCTGTTGCTGTTGTTGTGTATTATATTGAAATTGTGGATTGTACGCTGGGGCAGTTCTATTATTGTTATTATTAGCCAAAGGCACATTTGCTGGTGTATTCTGAGCAGCGTTAAATGCAATAAATGAATGTAATGATGATAGTAATGCAGAGGGTGTTGTTGATGCAGCAGCCGCAGCAGCAGCAAGAGCAGCCGCAGCAGCAGCGGCAGAAGAAATGGTTGTAGTGGTTGTAGTGGTGGTGGTGGTAGTATTGACATTCTTTTTTGGTACCGTAACAACAGAGTTGGCACCGGAGCTGGCATTGGCATTGGCACTGGCACTGGCACTGGGACCAGCAGTGGAATTGGGGTGGCTTCCTACACGTCTATTCGATGAATGGGGTGGGATCACCAGTGCCGGAGCATGGCTAAGCCTATCTTTGACCACAGATTCAACTTTCTTTGGAGAGGAAACTGGACTGGTCAGATCAATTTGACCGGCCAAATCAGGATTCATTTGAGATACATGAGCGTTCAAGGCTTTCATGTTGGGTGAAGCACTATGTGGAGTGGGCACTGCCGGAGCCAAAAGATGTTTGTTTCGCTCAATAGCCCACTTTTCGGCTATTGCCATCTTCTGAGCATATCCCTCAGCCTCCATCCTAAGGTAGGCTTCCGAATGTTTTTGTAAGTACTCGTATGTACTGGGTTCCTTTTGCGATGATCCTTGTGCGGATTCCTGGCCTTTCTTCAAGCTTTTTTCATCATAAGGCTTATGTCCAAGCCGATGTGCATTTCCAACTCGAGATTGAGGTTGAGGTTGAGGTTGAGGTTTTTGTGGAAGTTGGAGGGGAAGTTCTGGTTGTGGTTGAGCTTGAATCAGAGGTTTATGTTCAAGTCGAAGTTTAACAGGGCTTAATGCAGTTGGTTCAGCCTGCTCCACAGTCGAGGGGTTGAGGTGCGCCAAGGGTTGTTCCTGTGCCTGTACTGATACCGATTTCTTTTCGGGTATCGGTACTTTTTCCAGTGTCTGTTCCTGTGTCTCAGCTGGATCCGTTTTCTCAAATAACACTGACATATTCATGGGCGAAGAGTAGTAAGAAGCCACACTATGCGGCTGTCCTTCAATCTGCGGAGGGGGCCTAACGACTTGACTTCCCTGAGAAATGTTTCTATATATTTTACGGGGCTCTTGTGTTGGAGCCTGTTGAGCTTCTTTGGTTTCTTTGGCAAGTTGAGCCTCTTTAGCCTCTTTAGCCTCTTTAGCTTGTTGAGCCTGAGCCTGAGCCTGAGCCGTTGCCCGTGCCTGCAGAATTGTTTGAGCTTGGGTTATCGCTTGAGCGTGAGCAATGGCTTGAGTCTGTGCCTTTGCATGAGCATCAGCCATGGCTTGCGTTTGGGCTATGATTTGGGCTTGAGCTTTGGCGTGAGCCTTGGCTTGTGATTTAGCCCTGGCTATTTCCTTTTCCTCAGGTGTCTTCTGAGCGCGTGGCTGTCTTGGGGTTGGAGGTTGTACCTGACCCTGGAATATATACTGATGCTGTTTTTGTTTCTGAAGATTATCTATCGGCATTGGGGGTTGTGGCCTATTGTTATTAGGTGGTTCAGACATATTTTGGCCGGGATTGAGTGGATAATTTTGTTGAGAGTTAGCATTATTTACACCGTCTTGTCCAACATTGAGGTATCTTTGGTTGACGACGTTGATTCGAGCATTATACTCGTTTAATAATTTGTTGTATGCGTTAATGTATACATCTGAGCTTGTTAGATCGACGCCTTGGATGGTTTCTTTGAGTATCCCAAGCTCCTGTTGGAATATAATGCATGCTCTGTGGATTTCATCTTGATCGTAGCGTGCCATGGATTCTGGAGGAATCACACTGTGCACAGTACCATGATTAGAACCGGGGAAGTAATAGTAGTACTGGTTTGTTGCATTTAATGGCACAACATTTTGATTGTTTTCTGGGTTATTATAGTGAACATTAGCTCCTCGTGCATCTCTCGAAGACGGATTCTTGGGATCTTCCTTGTTCTTTCCTTTGCGTGCCTTGGCGGCTGATTTCTTAAGCTGGCTAGCTACATTTGCTTTAAGTTTTGCATCAGCTTCCAGCTGCTCAAGGATCTCGTCTGCTTCAGTTGCGCCAGATCCAGATAAGGAAGAATCTACATCCATTGAAGAGATAGAATCCTCATCGTCATTTTCAGATGTAGCCTTGAACTCTGTATCATCATTTTCGTTTTCCTTGCCTTTGTTCTTTCGCTTTTTAAACTCGCCCTTTTCTTCAACTCCATCGAAATAGGTCTATCCCAAAAAATAAATAATAATATTAATAAAGTACATCATAAGCTCCTTATTTCAACTGTCTTGTTTTAGAGATATCCAACTTACAATCTTTGCTCTTCTACGCGCACCTCTTCCAAGTTCCACATCAACCTCTTTGGCGACCTTTTTCTCTTTGCGTTTGCTTTCTAAAAATATGTTCCAGAAATCCTTATCTTCATCTTCTTGCTTGGCGTCGCCGGTGATATCGATCTCTTCATCTGCAGCATCGGTACTTGAGCTCCAGACTTTTCCAAATGAAAATGACAATGTTTTTTCTCCATCTTCTCCATCGGCATTTTCATCCGAATTATCCTTGACGATCTTTGACCGGTCCAAGAGTTTGTCGATCGCTGCCGAGTCATAGACGATATCTTTTGAATTGTCACCTTCGAACAAGGCCTTGCTGCCGTACTTTAGGATGCTCTCGATGTCATTTGACTCCAGATCATCATCATCCATCTTTTCTACTACCAAGTGATCGAGGACCATCTTTTTCTTCGCAACATGCATGATCTTTTCTTCGGCCGAAAGTCGTGTCATGAATTTTAGCACCAGTACAGGGTTCTTTTGCCCGAATCGGTATGCTCTACCAATGGCTTGCATGTCGGCGTGTGGGTTAGCATCAGGGTCCCAGACGATAACTGTGTCGGCAGTTGCAAGATTGATACCCACACCTCCGGCTCGAGTACTAAGAAGGAAGATGAACACATCAGAGTCTGGGGAGTTAAATGCGTCGATTGCACTGATTTTCTCAAGTTGAGAGCAGCTGCCGTCCAGACGCCGATAAGTGTGCTGTTCAACTTTCAAATAGTCTTCTAGAACGTCGAGGGTCAATCTGAGGGTCGAGAAGATCAAGATGCGGTGTCCGTCTCGCTTGAGTTTCGGAAGCATCTGATGCAATATCCGGAGTTTTCCACAGGCATCGATGAGCGCCCGGTGGACTGATTCCTGATCGGGTTGGTGGACCTCGACGTCTTCGATCAAGTACGGATGGTTCAATACCTTTCTCAGGTCCATGAGGATATTGCGGCTTACTCTGGTAGAGCCATTGGCTTGTTTTGTACCCACGGAATACTCTTTAAATGACTTGATATTTTGGCTCAAGATTTGTTTGTACACTTCTTTCTGTAAACTGGTCATTGAGACGGGCACAATGATCTCGGATTTCGGCGGCAGTTCCTTCAGAGCCGTCTTCTTTGTTCGTCGGAGGAAGTAAGGCTTGAGTTGTTCGTGTAACTCTTGGATAGTATCGTGCGATAGTTCGCCGTATTTCTCCTCCAATTCTTTCAAGTGTTGGAATTTAGATGGATCAACAAAGTTCATGATGTTCATCAACTCTCGAATATTGTTTTGTAGCGGTGTTCCTGAATTATATGAGCCATTTACAAGAGAGAGAAAAAAGGTAGATTTGTTGTTTAGATTAGTTAAAGCATAAGGGTTTGGATAAATGTGTACCGTTCTATTAAAATTACCAGTGATTTCCATATTGTTTTTTGATCTTTAGTCTTTATTGTTCTTACCTGTCAATAGTACGGGATGATCGGTATTTAGTGTATTGAGTTTTCGAAACAATAGACTAGCATTGTTCTTTAGCCGATGGGCTTCATCTACAATAAGGTTAGGCCAAAACACGGATTTTTTAAAGTATTGTGCGTCAGATAATGCGGATTCGTAGGTCATGATGACTGCGTGGCAACAGATTTCTCTGTTTGCGCTGTGCGGGTTGCCTGAAAATATTTCGTGTTTGCGTGCCAGTTCGCGCGACTTTGCTGAACCATAGTAAGGCACAACCGACATTTCTGGAGCCCATTTGTTAAATTCTCTCAACCAATTCTCGGATGTACTGTTGGGTACAACAACAACGAAAGGATAAATTCCAAACTTCTTGAGTAGGTAGTATAGAAAAGCAACCACTTGAATAGTTTTTCCTATTATTTTATTTTATATTTTTTATTATTATTTTTAATATATATATATATATATATATATATATATATATATATATATATATTTATATATTTAATAGATAGTTAAATAAAATCAAATAAAATCAAATATCAATTATTACTATGATTACTTCTTTAAAGAAAGAAAAAACACGAAAAGAAATAGCAATAATATCAAATAATCTAAATTCTCAAAACTTACCTAATCCCATGTCATCAGCAAGAATACAAGGTTGACTGCGTTCCCATTGGTAAAGCATCCAACTATATCATATTATATTATGTAATATTATATGCCTTGTAATTAGTACCCTTCAAATTAACAAAGACATAACACTAGTTATTTTATACTTTAGACCATCCAATTGATGCGGCATAAGGGTTCCTCCTTTTATGATGTCCGGTTGTTTCTTAAGTTCATGCTTGGAGTAGCTTTCCTTGGTAGCAACTCTCCTGACTTCTTCAACCCGAATTTTCATTTTGGAAGGTGGTTTGACTTTCTGACCTATGTAATATCTTCTTAACGCTTCTTTATAGACTGGGAAATGTTCGGAGCCTTCTTCTGGTATAGTATCCCAACAAGCTATCAAATAGTAGTATAGTATAGTATAGTATAGTACATTAAATTAATATTTTTTCTTTCATTTTTTTCGTCTTCTTCTTCTTCTTCAGACATACCTTCATCATATGGTAATCCACGATACTTTGCAAATATACGCTTATTTGAACTAGACGTAAAATCGATGTCGAGAATACGATCCACAAACAGCCAGTCTCTTAGAACGATTTCTTCCTCTGGTGGGAACTCATTTACACCGTATTTTGTTCCGAACATAGAAAGAGCTACTGGATTTATACGCCTGACCCACTCAGCAGGTAGCCATGAGAGATGCCTATAAGACATTCCAGCCCATTTGACAAGAAGTTCAATCCGGGGCTTTTGATATTTTGCCGTCGCCTTTCTACTGTTTCCTGGATTTTCTTTCAAAGGTACCGATCTTTTGGTGAGGAGTTTATCAATCTTTTTGTTATAAACTATACATTCTGGACAACGCTGAGTTGACCGACACAACTTGTAACCTTCTTCTTTCTGTCTTTCTTCATCCATATTCGGGAATCTAGTATCCTTATCTACAAATGGAGCCAGGCACTCGAGATGACAAACACCATTGCAACGAATACATCGGAATAAAGGCTCAATAGGGTTTTCTTGATTATTTTCTATGTTTTTATCAAGGCTTTCCTTTCCATCCACATCAACATTCATACTCATATCCACATCAACATCAACATCAACATCAACATCCATATCCATATTCATATTCATATTCATATCCTTATTATTATCCATTTCTGTATCCTTTTGGTCACCATGGTCAAGCGAGAGTGTATTGAAATTCTTTTTGAGATCTACCATTTTTTCTTTTGCTGTAATCTTTGACTCTTCATGACCATTATTTCTTCCACACAGATAGCACGCAGGAAGCGCTTCAAAGGCACGTGCTCTCTGGCCTCTGCAGTAAGAGCACTGGAATCTGGTAACAGTCTCGCCATTGATAACAACTGTCTTGGTGGATCTTTTTAGTGTTGCCCGGGACCCTACACAGCCTTCATGAGTTGAGGCTGTACATGTGCCACAGAACAGCAGCCGGCCTTCATCTACTCCATAATCCACAAATTCATCGTGTTTTGCATTTGTATTTGTCGAAGCGCGCATTCTTTTCTTGAGAATCGATTTTGGTGGGCCGTTTGGATAGCCTTTGAGTTTACATTTTGTGCAGGTTGACCAATTTGATTGGACATCTTCGTCTGGAACATGATGTGTCTTTTGTTTGTCTTTTGGTGGATGGTGTTTGGTACTTGTACCCCTATTTGATCTCTTTGCTGGTGGGCGACGGAGGTGATCGTGGCTATCGGAAGAATTGTCGCTTTCATCATCTTCTTCTTCATCTTCTTCTTCATCATCATCTTCTTCGTCATCGTCTTCGTCATCGTCTTCGTCTTCGTCTTCGTTGACCTCATATTCGTCTTCGTTTTCGTCTTCGTTTTCGTTCTCGTCTTCACCGCCGCTGTCGCTCGGAAGCATCATATTTCTCTTTGAGCTGCGAGTGATTTTCTTTGGCTCGGCCTCGCTGTCAGTTTCGCTGGTTAGCTCTTTATCAAATACGACACTATCGCTCCAGCTGACTGTATTCTTTCGGGGTTTTTTGATTTGGTAAGGTCTGTTGGATTCGTCGACTGAGAACTCGAATTTGTGGGGGCCTTTTCCATCTCCATAGAGTCTTTTAATTTCATTATGTTCAAATTCTTCGAGTTGTTCATAAAATTGATGAAGATTATTTGGTGGTTCCTTTATTACATAAATATTGTTATATATACTTTGTAAGAAAATCATTCGAAAACACACACACACACACAGAGAGAGAGAGAGAGAGAGAGAGAGAGAGAGAGAGAGAGAGAGAGAGAGAGAGAGAGTATTACCTCTGTTTTGAGTCCATTATTCCAAATTACTTTATATAGCACTTTTCCAGTTGAGGTAGTTCGTTTCTTAAGAATATTACGCAGACCACCGTATTCCTTTATTCTCTTTTTGTCTTCACTGTGGTCTGTATCGCTCTCAGAATTTAATCCAGGGGAAGATTCACTCTTTATGGAATCCGACGATTGATTTGTTTCTAAATCTTTTAATGGTTTGACAGGAATTTGGATAGATTTTAAAACCTTCCATTCTTTTTGAATGGCCTTTTGAGGATTTGATGATTAATATATATGTTTGTAATGATAGTAATAATAATATAAATAGGTAGGTAGGTAGGTAGTCTCGAGATTTATAAGATGTAGCTCACTTTTAGAGATATTGTCTTAAAGATGGTATTATGTTCCTGTGATTCTACGATCCCATTGAGAGCTGACATTATGCGTAACGCGTTCCTGTGCAATTGAGGGTCTCTGAATACAAAAATAAAAAATAAAAAATAAAAAATAAAATAAAATAGGGTAAAATAGATAAAATAGAATAAAATTAAAAAAAAAAAAAAGGTGTGATGCTGTCTTACTACAAAGTGACTGTAAACTATTTGTTTTTCCGACAACAAACAAAAAAGAAAAAAGAAAAAAGAAAAAAGAAAGTCAGATACATATGAAATTTGAAACAAGCAATCAAGCAATCAAGCAATCAAGCTTAATCAACCAATAATTATAATAGAATAATTAATTCATTGTTTGATTAGCCAGCTATTATATCTTTTGAATGATAGATCTATAGATAGATAAATGATTAGATATACTATGGGAAATGAGTGGTGATTTTTGAAAGAAAGTATCTTGGGTACATTTAAAAATTGCCACTCGTTTTCCCGTAGCGACAGTAGCCGTAAACTCTTAATTTTTCTCCTTCTTCTTAATAAAGACAATCGTAAGGGATGAATTGATCAAGTGCATACAAATAGCCTCATTCTTATTATTCTTAAAAATAAAATTGCTATAAAATATATAATATTTGGAAATATTCTCAAATGAAGAAGAAAAAAAGAATTGATCACAAATACTATGTTTTGTATAATACAATTAATTATTTGAAACAAACCAACTTTTTAGATATATTTTGAATGTATTTTATACCTTACTACCACAAGTGTGGTGTTTCTGATGGTCAAATAATCTGAAGACCATAAGCACAAGTTCTAAAAACGCGCTCTCTCTAAAAAAAAAAAAAAAAAAAAAATAGGAGCCAATTTGGCACCAAATCACAACCCTGGGTCTATAATTTGATCAACTTCTTCTTTTTTCTCTTACGCAATCTCAAGATATGCACCATTACTGTGACTGCATAGATTTGATTTGTTTGGGATGTACCTTAAAATGCGATCCGGAAAACTCACTTTCAGCACAACATTTCGTTACCTTATTCCCCTCCTTTATCCACCAATTGAATCGCAGATATCGCAAACTCTTAATACTAGATGACTTGAGATAATAAAGAATTGTCAAAGGGCCATAGACCCTAGGATTCTCAGCAAATGCCATTAAAATGCCATTTTTTTTTCAGGTGTATATATATATGTAAAATTGTGCTAAGCTTTTAGACATGTTTTGACCGTATGTATGCCTTTGTTTTCTTAAAGGAAATCGTGTCTAGATTAATATGGTCGACTAAAACAAAAAAAAAAACAAAAAAAATAGGCGTTGTACGCCCCTCCCCTTTTTGTTTGTTTGTTTGTTCCACATAATTATTAAAGTACCTTTTTTATATATTTATACTATCATTAGTAATAGAGTGTATATATAGTGCAATCAGGCATAAGCATCTATGTATTTTTTTTTCCAATTTATTCTCTGGTTGAATTAACCTGATATTTAACCCTGTACGCTGGCGAACAGCATTAGTCTTTCTCAAAGCTGTTTTGCCCCACTCAAGGGGGTTTACTTTTATTTCATTTCAATTATTCCTCAGCTCTCATTGGCTCGCTTAAATGGCACAATGCACAAGGCCTTGAAAACATGTATCAAAGAAAAATTATCTTTGTATATATGTGTTGTCGTTGTTTGGGTTTCCGGTTGTATAGCAAAGAAAACCATATTGACAACATCACAAAGGGGTTAACAGATCTCTTTTTATGTCATGTGACATAGTAAAAGTATAAAATTCTCTACGCAGTGTTCTAGTTCACATAACCTCTTTTTTTTTGTTAAAATTAATTCACAAAACATAAAGCATGTCTAGAAAGATCTTATAAAGAAGGTTAACTCAAATCACTTGATTCATTTTTTTTGGTGAACTAACTACCATAACAGCAACTAATACATGCATATTATACTCTTGTCGTTTGAACATCCCTTTGAAATATTCGGCATTCAATAGAATGAATAAACACTTATTATACAAGATATAATTCTATATAGACCCACATCACCAGTTGATGCCAAAAGAATCTGGATCAATCGATTTGCATCCGAGACAAAAAGAGAAGATCTAGTTGAGATAGATTCTAAAAAAAAAAGTAGATTGGTCGGAACTAATGGAGACCCGCAATTGAAAAAGAAAAATGGAATTGTTGGACAAATTATAACTAAAAGGCAACACTAGGACTCATCTATTGAAAAGGTATTTTTTTTTTAAAAAAAAGGTATTTGTTGTACCTTCTGAATATACACAGTAAGTATTGATAATTTTGTTTTAATTAGAAAAGGAAAAGGAAAACAAAGCACCTTGAACGCTGGAAGATGTTGTCAGATTAGAAAAGGATAGGCAGAAAGGCCAGTATTCAAGAAAAAAGCGCATGTCCCAGCATATGAAAGTGTCGTTTCTCAAGATAAATGGCCTGGAAATTCAGACGGATACAATCGTTTCTTTTCTGAATATCACATACAATGAAAGTGAAATAGACAGTTCATATAAAGACGGGCAATCATGAACAGAAACTGAAAAATTTTCTTCATCGAGCACGATAGACTATGTGTGGACTATAGTCTTGAGCGAGTGGAATATAGTTTCGTTTGGAAAGAAAGAAAAGACTACTACCGATGGAGATATCATGTAAATGTATAACGTTGCTGATAATTATGCTATGAATAAGACGTTAAAACCGGGATATATATATATATATAAAGTAAAGCTGTTTCTTTCTGGTTTATTTGACTGCTTCACATCAACAACAACAAAGAAACAATACATAGTATATATTATACACATATCAGAAAAGCATCACCAGCTCCATAATATATACATATATATATATATATAAAGGCTATGGATAATAACACAATTATGGAATCAGGTTCTCAATAAAAGTGTCAAAGAGCCTACCTATCTACCATATAACCTTGAGTATCTTTCTACATCTTTCCGTTATTTCAACTGAAGGTTAGACAAAAGAACTTAACTTTATATCAAAATCAGTAAGTTGTCTGCTTGGTTCTTTGTGGTCTTTGCATGACCAAGTGACGATCTCATGATAGACTAAAAAAAAAATTCCCATCAATGCTGCTTTATGCACAGTCGCATTATCTTCTTTTAGTACGAAAGCATAAAAGTAAATAGGGTTGATAGATGATATACTTTTCTCTTCCGTAAGTACTTACTAAATTCTTCATATATTAATTATTAATTATTATTATTATTATTATTATTATTATTGCAAAAAGTCTTGGGCTTTTGAAAGAAAAAAAAATACCCAAAAGATACAGACAATTATCTATGATTACACCATATATAACAAATTATTTGCTTTGATTGAAATAAATGAACATGTTTTTGACATGAGTTATTAATATTTGAGATGAGTCATTTGTATGTAGTCAACGGACATTTCCCGTTGTTTCTTTGTTTTTGTTTTTGTTTTGTGTGTATGTATGTATGTATGTATGTATGTATGTATGCGTTTCATATAAAGAAGAAGAGAATGCTCATTATTGTAAGAGAGAAAAGATCATGATGATTGACGTGCACAGTGCGACACCAAATGCTGCAGCAAGAGGAAAAAACGATTCACGTAAAGAACTGGCGCTACCAAGATAGCATGTGGGGCAAAACATGGCTAAATATACATGTTAGTAAGAGCGTAAGAATAAACACACACATATATATATAAAGCAAGAAACTTACAGTCCGTTCTTCCCACGTATGCTTCTGTACTGTACATAGCAACCACCAATCTGGCATCAGGCATCAACCAACCCGGACTAGGAAAGGCTTTGGGACCTCGTTGATCATATACCCAGACGGTGTAATAGCCGACCATCAGAGGTGATCCGGGTGCGAGGCGTGCAAGATCCCAATTGGCAGATGTGGCGGTACCCGGAACAACAGCAGCCGTAAAGGTTTGTTTTTGAGGATTTGCCAGGGCGACAGTAATATTGACCGGCTGAACCTTGAGGATCTGTGGATCGACAGTCCACTCAAAAGTGATGTTGGATACACCGATCTTGTAGAGAGGAGGGAATGTTTGGTTTGGAATCGGTTTTTTCCAGGTTAAGTAGGCGGGAGGGATATCGTTGCTGAACGAAGCCGAGGTTGGCTTTCCTACAAACGGATTGACATTGTTGGGTGCTGCAGACTGAGTTGCATTCGTCTGGCTTGCATTTGCCGACGCTGAAACAGTTGGCGCAGTGTTTAGTGCTGAGGCAGGCCCAGCAGCAGCAGGTGGAGCAGCACCGGGAGCAGCACCTGGGGCAGCACCGGCACCAGCACCAGCTGCCCCAGCAGGATTGGTGGGGCCAGGGCTTGCAGCTGTGGCCACGGGAGCTGGATTTGGTTGAGGGTTACTGGGTTGAACGGCACCTGCTTCAGCTAAAATAAAATAAATCTCATTTAATACACCTCACACTCTCTTTAAAGAAGAATTATTGCTATAATAGTAAATTCTTTGTAGTAGACACAATAGAAGCTTATTGTATTTAACAATAACAATAACAATTATCATGTACATATGTATATGTGTTTATGAGTGTGTCTTTTACCTGGTACAGGATCAGCTAAAATAAAAACAACCTTGTTTAATACAAAGAATACTTTCTTATGAATACTAATAGCCTTTATATAAAAGAAAACATACCTCTTTCAATAAATGGATATCTTGCCTCAACAGTTAGACATTGGATAACAAATAATAGACACAAATATCCAATAAGGCGCATCTTGTATATTATGTGTTTTAGTATAAAGATATTAATATGAATATATAGATTTGTGCTGTGTTAAGCTGTGTTGGGCTGGGCTGTGTTGAGAGTTGTACTGTATTATGTCTATAGAGAGCAAAATGATCAAAATAAAATAAACTAATATAAGAGAAAGAAAAGAGAAAGAGAAAGAGAAAGAGAAGCAATTCTCTACTCCTTATTCGTCTCTTCGTCTTCTTGTTCTTGTTCTTCTTGACCAAGATGATCCAGTTGAGCAGCAGGAGATTCAGGGGAGTTGCATTAAAGGGGACCTGCGACGGCTTAAAAGGAATAAATATAAATAAATAAAGAAAAGCCAAAAATAATAGCAGCATAAAAAATAGCATAAGATAAAAGTAGTCTAGTATAATGATTGAGAGCACTTAACAAACATAGTCTAGATATCGATCCTCATTTCATCAAAGACCGAGACAAACTGGTATTTTTAGAAATATATTCTTATAAATGTGAATAAATTTAATAAGAAATCAATCAATAAAGCAATAAAGCAATAACCTGGAAATAATTAGACTATGATAGATCATATCTAGACCCACAAAAATGAAAGAAAGAGAGAAAGCCCTTTATTATTATTATTAGTACTGTAGGAGGTATATGCCTATATTCCTATAGCAAGACACAGTGAATTAGGTACTTATTTTACAAGTCTGTGGGGCAAGGAGGAGTTATTTCTATCTGTATGTCTCTATTTCTAAGCGGCAAATAAAAAGGGAGATTTATGCTTGATTCAGCCAGGGAGATTTGCCTCCTCTATGTATCTCCTTTCTCCTCTGTTGAGGAGGTTTACTTTACAGACACATAGGTTTCTATCTTTAAAGTGCTCTTGACCAACCGAGCCCTTCTTCTTCTTCTTTCTCTTATGTTTAGTTTAAGCTTATCTATCAATCATTGAATTTATTAATATTCTACAAACATCAATTTCAATATAGATATACTTGATATCAATAGAATCTTCTTCTTTAAAATAATAATAATAATAATAATAATAATAATAATAATAATATTAAGAGCGGTAAAGAGCCACTCGAGTGAATTTGATATCATTGTTCTGTACCAGTCCTCCTGTGCCGGCAGAAAACCCAATCACAATATCCGAGCTATGGTTGAGATATTCATTGATCTCCACATTCTTGACGGCTAGAACGACATTATAGTCTTGAGAGTTTTGCTTTAAAGACACCTCGACAATGTTCGCCTCTGTCATGAACCTTGCTCGGACGTCAATCCATTTTCCATCATTAAGTGCCGGAATTTTGGAAGTGTGGCCTAGCGAGTGATTATGAGACGCGCTATTGGCATTAGGTGGAAGGCGTCCATGAACACTAATATGATTATCAGAAGGATCATTATATCTATCCACACTATATAAATAATTTTAAGATTCCAATACATATTCTGTATGTTAGATCAAACATCTTTAACTTCATTTCTCTGTTTGTTTGCTCGCCTTTCTCTCTTCAATTTTAATTTCATTTCTTATAGCTTATATTTGTAAGCTTACTTTTTATAGGTATCGAATTCAATGGCCAGACTAAGTAAATAGATGAGCTGTTAGTCTGTAGATTATATACATATACATACATATATATATATAGAATGTGTCTTACCTGTCACGAAGACCATCATAGCCCATTCCAGAGTCACCTATATATATTAAAAAAAGAAGAAGAAGGAATATAACCAATCGTTTGTATTGTATTTTACTGTGCTTTGAATGTGTGGCTGTCAAACTTTACCATTTCCTAAAAGTGCGTGTTTTTGAGCTTGTATGACAAGAGCAAGTCCATCTGCACCACCATATGCAGGTCCTCCTGCTGCGTCTGTTATTCTTAAAGAAAACTCGATCTCAAGTCCCTTGACTCGTGGATCTATTAAGTTTATCGTATTTTTCAAAAAGACGCCACCACATTGGCTTTGTATTGCCTGTGTAAGCCTAATTGTTTTTTCGGCTGGGTTTTGTGATTCTAAGGACTGATCGTTTAAAAGAGGGCAGGCTGTTCCCAAGAAATCGAGTGTACTGAAATCAGGGTACTCTGCTTGAATCTTATAATCTAAGTTATCAAAATTTGTCAGTATAATAGAAAATAAAAGCCAAAAAAAAGGGAGAAATGTGAGGGAGGTTAAAGGGGGGGGGGGAAAGTGGGAGTGTGTATGTGTGTTAGGGTTAAGGCCAAGTTGAAGAGAGAACAAAGTGCATCAAACGCACAGAATAGCTTACTTACCGGTTAGGTATGGCTTCATAATATTTGCTGACTCTGCATTGCCACCATCAAATTCTCCTCGCGTGATTCTCCATTCCAAAGAGCCTTTAGAGCTTAAAGGTGAGTATACTGCTTTTTTTGTTTTTGTTTGCTTTTTACCAATTGGAGCCAATGCTAACAAAAATAAAGCCTTTCTTCTTACCACTCTTACGACCAGACATTTGGCTTATATCTACATGCGTACGTTTAATCGATTCCTCGAGTTCCTTCTTTTCCATGTCTCTTCTTTCTCTCAGGATGGCGAGAGTTTCGTTGTTTAGATCCTTTTGTCTTACAGCACATATATCTGAAATACACTTTTATAAGTAAAATGTGATTAGCCAAACAGCTGTTATCACACACACACACATAAAAGCTTATCATGTTAAGTCTTTTCTTTTACCTTCGCTAGATCTTCTTCACTTGTTAGCGTACGTCGTTTTAGAGTTTCATCCCATTTTATTGTGTATCTTTTGGTGACATCAACCACTTCTTTTGGTGAAAAGGCAATGCAGTACGCAAGTTTTTTGTTCCATCCTTCACTATACACCAAAGGCTACATGAAGAAGAATACATAAATATTTGTGGTATGCTGTATAATGTACTCAATATAGGCAAGTTAACTTACGGTATCAAATGCATCTTCACACGGGTCGCAATGGATCCAACGCTGGTGATGCTCAGAGTAAACTTCTGTCCAGACATGATCTTTGGATAACATGAAAAAATAACCATAAAAATATCACGATTAGAATCAACACACCAACACAAAACACACACACACACACACACACACACATATATATATATATATATCTACCTGTAGTATCCAAAACTAGTCTAGCTTCAGCACCGATAGATCTACAACAGAGTGTAAAGCACTAGGACCATAAAAAAATCCAACTTCTTTTCGTTTAGTGGTGTGCTATTGATTGAATAAATTTAACCTTACATCAGCCCATTCTCCACAACGACCTCTTCTTGTTTCTAGTAGCTTTGGAATACTCCTAAAAAAACAAACAAACAAAACAAATTAGAAAGTGGGACGATCAATATACATATAGATACATAGCTAAAAAAATCGATAGCTTTTTGAGCTGTCATTTATAGAATATCTTACGTATAACGAGGAAATCGAGTAGTTCTCCGACAGTTTTGACATTTGTAAAGCTCGACTACATTAGCACCATCATTTCTTTCTTTTCTATTGGGTGTGTCAGTCCCACTCCCTACAGTACTTCCCTATAAGATAATGATAAAGATAGTTTAATGTCAAAACCATAATATACTATAGATATTATCATTCTTGTGTATGTTTCTTTCTTACGTGACAGTGGTCGCAAGGAGGTTGGTCAACCCACGAAAAGAACTCCGTTTTGAACCAATGCATCATACTGCGTACAAGCTCATCGTCAACTGTAGTATCTTCAATTTCTTCTGCGGCCTCTTCAGCCTTTTCATAAAGAGTCTGCAGCGGAATATACTCCAAAGCAAGTTCCTATATCCACCGGGTTGTCCAAAAAATAATAATAACAATAATCATAATAAATATATATAAATATATATATATATATTTGGCTTGGTTCTTTGGTAAATGACACTTGACAGGATTAGGATTAAACTGGGATGAGCTGATCCAGATTTAAGAGGCAGAAAGGGGAGAAAAAAATAAGGAATTTTTAATATTGTACCATAATCTCTGAATCATTGTAGACAAGAGATTGTTGACTTCTGCGCCAAAGGACATTAAGAAAAGGGTTCGTTGTACCAGTGCTAGATCCCGATTGGCTGGCAACATTCAAATCATTTGACTGGCCAGATTTTTCTAAGCCAGAGAACACCAGTCTGCGTTTCTTGAGAGCCTCTCCCCATAAGGTTGCAATCCTTTTGGAAATCGATTCAATTTCTCTGGAATCCATAAGATCAAAAAGGTTTATAAAGCGTGACAGAAGGTGAGCGGGAAACTCACTTGCTCAAGTTTGATGGAGTCATGTGTACTCCGATCAAACTGTACAACACAAAAAGAAAAATAAATAAAACTCAGCTTTCAAATGAAAAGAGGTGTGTAATTTCAGGCACAAAAAATAAATAAAAATAAAAAAGATCTATGATTTACATTTATAATTCTCTTCCTTTGGTATATATATATATATATATATATATATATAATGCTCTTTTGTTCAGCTTTATAGTTATTTTGTTGCTATGGCTGTTGAGTGCTACGTAGTGTAAATAAATAAATAAATATATATATATTGTCATTTGTCTGCATGTTATCGAAAAGAAAGTATTCCTTTTCCTAATGGTTGTGTTACAGACAGCAATAAATATCACATGAAGTACGAGTTCAACAAGAAAAAAAAAGCATTCAATTTGAAACAAAACATGAACTCCCCCTTGTTAGTTCTATTATCATCTCTTTCCTTCTCTTCTTTAATTAATTAATAAAACTACATGCATAAATATATAGATAAATAAATATAAAGGTATGTAATAAACAGGTGTGGATAATAAGCCAAAATCTGGTTGTTGAATATTGAATATTTTGGCTTTGGCTTTGGTTTTGGTTTTTGGTTTGTTTAAGGATTGGCGTCCTGCACGGACCATGCATTGGTTTTCAGTGAATATGTGTATATCTTATTCCAAAATTTAAATAGAGAACAATAGTAAAAAAAAGAGAGGGAAATGATAATAATAAGAAGGGTTAATACACCAATTTAAAATAAAATATATTAAATTTAATTACAGTAATTACAGTAATTAAATTAAATTAAATTAAATTAAAATTGAAATTTATTCAATATATATATATATATATACAACTTACCGTTCTTTTTGGTGGGAATACTGAATGGTCAAAGTGACCAACACGGGTTACCTTGTAAGCCAAAAGACAGAAATTATCCATGGCAATGTCATGAACGACCTTGATCATTTCCTCAGGTGTGCCGGCAACACCAATTCGAGGACCTTCCTTATCCATCATGCAATCTAATGACTGGCACGAGAAAGAAAGGCGGTCGGCCTTGGGTACTTCTCCTTGTGATGGCCAAGTGAAACTTGCTCTGGTTCTATTGCTCATCAGACTCCATTGTCTACGTCTCTCGGTCTCCCAATAAACTGCAGCCGGTAGTTGATCACTGACTTTAGGTGGTGGAAAACGAGTAACTTGAGTAGGAGACGATGCAATGTAAAACTTTCCCGAAAAATGATACTGCTCTTTTGATTTCGGCATCATCCTTAGAATCATCAACATTTGAGAAAAATTAGTGCTTCATATTAGCGGAGTAAAACAAGGTTGAGAGGATATTATTTTTTTGTATATTGCCAAGCACTTGTTCTTTATTGTTGTTGTTTGATTACCAGCATAATTTTGCTTGAGGATCAGATCTAATATCCCCCATAAGACTATTGTTGTTCATCGCGAGCAGAAAAGTAAGGAACCGAGCGTCTTCATCAACAAATGACTGGAACGCTAGAGAATGCATCGACGTTTCTCCCGAGCGTTTTATATTTGCCATGGTCAAGTAAGCTTTAAAGAAGTATCAATGCATTTTTTTTTAAAAAATAAATAAATAAATAACCAAAAATTAAGATTATTATAATAATTTTTGGAAGCCTACAAATAGTCTTTTTTTTTTCATTTTCATGCAAACCAAAATAACTATAGGTATATACCTTTATCAGTATTTGGAGGATAGTTAAGAGTATAGCTTGTCCTGAGCGCATAGTGCCATGGTGGTGGGGCTTGCGGATGAAGTGTAGGTGATGTAGGTGATGATGGCAATGAGAATGACATTGTAGAAAAAAAAAGAAAGAAAAGTTAATGGGTTTAAGAGTATGACCAAATATATATATAATTGACCCAAACCTGCTCATTTTCTCTCTCTCTCTTTTTAACCATGAAAAGTGGCTTGATTGGTTTAAATCACCGCTATGCTGAGGAGGGACAGACAGTAAGAAAAAAAAACCAACCAACTCAAGTTGAAGTGAACCCCTCTTTCCTCCCTTTTTTTTCCCCGCCCCGCCTTCTCCGTCACCCCACGTAGACTTCCTTAATGACAAGCTCTAGCCAGCTGCCATTAGCCAACAATCCGTAAGCAATCACTTTGCTTTTTTCTTTTTCTTTCTTTTATGTTCACTAAGAAAAAAATTAGCTGACGTTCGTTGTTATATAAACTTTACTCTAGGAGACCCTCGGGGTCTTCTGTTCTTCCTCCGCAGCCCCCGACCTATGCACATCATCTTCCGTCAATACCACCAAAGAAGTCTTCTGTAGCCTCATTTGCACTTCCACAACCTAGAGGTGGAGAGCACTTTCACCCTTCTGCTTCTGCTTCTTCCGCTTCTGCGTCTGCTTCTGCTTCACCTTCCTTAACACTCTCATATGCTAACGCGTCACCAGCTCATTCGTTTGGAGGCATGGTCGGAATCCAACATTCTTCAGACCACCATCCATCCATGACCACTCCAATGCCGTCCCTACCACCTCTCCACCCACTAACTCCTTTTGAACCAATCGGTCCCCCTAGTGTGGTCCGTGCCAGCAGTCCAGCTGCAAATGCATCTCAGTCATCTCACGACTCCACACAGGCAAACTATCGGCCCTTGAATGTGCGGGATGCACTTACTTACCTTGACCTGGTCAAAGTGCGCTTCTCGGATCAACCTGATGTTTACAATCGATTTCTTGATATTATGAAAGATTTCAAAAGCCAATCGTAAGTATTGATGTGTATAGACTCTATGTTATGTGTTTCTGGGAGTGTGGGAGTATGTGTTAGCGTTGGGGTTAATTTGCTGTGCGTAAAATACTAAATACTTTTGTAGGATCGATACTCCGGGAGTAATTGAGAGAGTATCAACACTTTTCAAAGGGCACCCAAATCTAGTATCTGGATTCAATACTTTTCTACCACCGGGTTATCGCATTGAGTGTTCTAAAGATCCTCGTGAGCCAGATTTGATCCATGTCACTACCCCAGGAGGAATTACAACTACCACTGGTGGTTCGGACTCCCGACATCCAGAAACCACAGAACCTCCTCATGGACCTCTTCTTATGAGTGGACGCACCCCAACCCACAGCCACATCCACAACACCACCACCACCACCAGCAATAACAACAGCAATAACAACAGCAATAACAACAACAATAGCAGCAACATCAACAGCAGTAGCAGCAATAACCTTAGCCATAACCTCAACCTCAATCATAACATCAGCCATAACCTCAACCATAATAACAACAATATTCATAACCTCAACCACAATCACAACCTCAATCACAATAGCAATCACAATAACACTAGCTCTATAGCCTATTTTACTCCACCATCAAAACCTCTCCACCAACCTGAACCACCCTTAACCACCAATACAACTCCTACAGATCAATCTTCACACAACAATGGAGCTAAAAGGCCTCCAATTGAGTTCAACCATGCCATCAATTATGTGAACAAAATCAAGGTAGTTTTTCTTTTCTTTATTTATTTAAAGATGAGGATAATACCTATAGTATACTATAGTATAGTACGGTTTTTTCAATTTGCTGATTCTATGTATATAAATATATATAAAATATAAAAAGAATCGATTTGCAAGCGACCCAGATACATACAAGCAGTTTTTGGAGATACTTCAAATGTATCAAAAGGATGAAAAGGCTATCCAAGATGTAAGCAATTCTGTGTTCTTTTGTTTTGTTTTGTGAGTTTGGAGTTTAAAGAATTTCAACCTAACAACTAATCGGCTAATAAACGGGTGTGCTTTAATTTTCATTATTTATATTTTTTCTTTCTTTTTTTTTGTGGGTGTTTTGTGAATAGGTATATTCTCAGGTGCAGTATCTGTTTAACGGATCTCCTGATCTCCTGCATGAGTTCAAACTGTTTTTACCTGACGTGTCCGGTCAAAATCCACCAGTTTACGATCGTGGTAACCCAGAAAAATAATAATAGCATATTTGTATATTTGGATTTATACAAGCATATATAGACTTAATATTGAAACTATTCCGTATTTTTTTCTTAGGATCCAAGAGAAGCATACTAGGACCACCACAGAATGGTCAAGCTATTCCACCTGGAAAAAAGAAGAAAATGGCAAGTAAATCAAATCCAATAAAACCAAAACAGACCAAGCGGAAAAAAAGGAACATATACAGCGACTTGCTTAATACTGGGATTAAGGCTGAATAATATTTACTAATGGTTGTCTATCTGTTTTGGTGTGTGGGGTGGAAATTTATCAACAGACAAAACGATCAAAACTATTTAATATGAGAGATAGTGACCAGGAAGTATCCCGACAAGGATCTCAGGGACCTGATATGATTGACAGATACGAATACGCTGGCTCATCAGATCCCAATCGCCCGTCTGTCTCATCTGAAGACGAGGTTCTGTTTGAGAAGATTCGTAAACACATCGGAAATAAGCCATCCTACGAAGAGTTCCTCAAGACCTTAAATCTCTACAGTCAGCAGATCGTTGACATGAACACTCTGATTGACCAAGTCCAAGTCTTTTTGGGAAATAACAAGAAGCTTTTTGATGCTTTCAAGTCCATGGTTGGGTATGAGCCTACAGGTCGTATTCTCACTATACCTCCTACAGTCATTCCAAAACCAGACATAATGCATTGCAAGACTGTAGAAATCAGCCCTAGTTATCGAGCTGTGCCCAAAAGCGTAAGTAAAGAAAAAAAAAAGCCTCTAAATCGTTTGATGTCTATGGTGGGTGATTGAGACATTTCTTGCTCTCCGATTAGTGGCAGAATCAGCCTTGTTCTGGAAGAGATCAGTTGTGTTGGGAAGTCTTGAATGATGGATATGTATCCCACCCAATTTGGGCAAGTGAAGATAGTGGATTTGTTACATCCAAGAAAAATCAATATGAGGAAGCGCTCCATCGTGTGGAAGAAGAACGGTAGGTCTACTAAGAAATATATATTCGTAATAAAATATTGCTTTCTTATAAAAATATACATATAAAGAAGAGTAAATGAGTAGAGGAAAAAAGGGGAGGGGGAGGGGGAGGTTTGAAATTAAACAATGAAACTTATTGTGATGATAGATATGATTACGATCTCAATATTGAAGCCAATCACAACGTTATTGCTCTTTTGGAACCCATCGTTGTTCGATTAGAGACAATGACTCCAGAAGAGAAATCTAATCTCCGTCTAGAGCCTGGCCTAGGTGGACAATCTGTTTCAATATATACCCGGATAATCAAAAAGGTGTATGAAAAAGAGAGGGCGGAGGAGATCATTGAGATGCTTTACACAAACCCCGCTCAAGTAGCACCCATTCTTTTAAAACGACTGAAGAAGAAGAACGAAGAATGGATCAAAGCTCAGGTAAAAAAAATCTTGTTGCTGTGGTTTATATATATATATAACAGATTTGATTTATTTTGTGAAACTTTTACTAGTATGAGTGGAATGGTATTTGGCGTGAACTGGATGCAAAGAACTTTTATAGGGCACTTGATTACCAAGGAACAACATTTAAGAGTAATGACCGTAAGGTGATTGTGGTAAAGTCTCTTGTTACCGAGATCGAGACGATGCATCACAATCAACAGACCGAAAAAAGTACTTTACAGCCCAAATCAAACTATCAGTTTCTGTCAATACTTGATGACCCAGATGTCTTCAAGGACATCACTCGTCTTGTTTTTACATTTATTGAAAACCAAGGAGGGTTTACAAACAATGATCGTGAAAAGATCCGAACCTTTATTCAAACTTTTATCCCCATGTTTTTCCATGTGGATGATGTGATGCCTGAAAAGCAACAAAACTACACCGACGAGGCTGACGATGAGATTGTGTATGAAGAAGATGAAGAGGACGACGACGATGTCAATACGTCCGGCTCTGAGGACTCAGAAGCTGATGTAGAACGAGAACGAGCCAACTCGCCTAATAACAACTACCAAACCCAACCACCACCACCACAGCCCCCGTCCACTCGCCGACGTCATGGAAGAGGGAGTCGCAACCATCAGGAGGACGAGGCAGCAATGGGACTTTTACGTGACGTGCTGACCAAGAACACTGGTTCTCTTACAACCAACGATGCAGGAACATCTGCGCATGTTAATGGTAAATTACCCTCTGAATCACCAGATTCTGGACTTGTTTCTGAAGAAAGAATAGTCAAGACAGAAGTCGATGGAACCGAAGAAGCAACGACTGCATTTCCAAAAGAAGATCCTTCTTCTGCCGAAGCTGAAGAAATATCAGATCGATCCGCATCTCCTCTTGTCACTGCTACTGCTACTGCTGCCACTACTGCTACTACTGATCAATCAAGCAACCATCAGAGCCACACATTGTTTGCAGCAGCGGCAGCGGCTACTGCGCCAGGAATGCGAAAAAGAACTGCGTACAATTTTTTTTGTAATTCCAATTTCTATTGTCTATTCAGATTATATGAGGTAAAATCATCATCCAAAATAATAAGAATATTGTATATTAAAGAAATTACGAATATATGGTCTTCTTTTTATTATCTTTTGTATGTGTGTATTTATATAGATGCTCTATGAAAGATTATTGAAGATGAAGAAACATAGTGAAGAGATAAAGGCAAATCCTCGCAAGGGAAAAACATTCAACAAAATGGCACTTGATCTTGGGTTTTACAGTCATCGTTTTGAAGGTATATATTATTATTTCTTTGTAGATAGTTATTTGACCGTATGTTATTTATTTATCGGTGTCTTATAAATATACGTTAGATATCGATCTTTCCGGAAGCTATTATGCTGCTCTTTTGGGCGTCATTGATCGTTTTTTTGAAGGCGAGCTAGACCAGACCTTGTTTGAAGAAAGCGCACGCTATATTTTTGTGACAGAGGCATATACAATGTTTACTATCGATAAGCTTGTACTTGCTGTAATAAAGCAGGTAAAATATACATTTATAAAAAAAAAACTTTAAACTAAAAATTTATATGTATATAAATTCTTTTTCACAAAAAAATTAGATTCAAGCTGTAACTATGGATGTCAAGTCAGTTGAACTTGTCAAATTGTTTCGTAGTGACCAATCTTTAGAAACAGTCTCGCCAAGAACATTGTCTGTGTATCGTCTTCGAGTAGAAGATGTAATAGGATCTGATGAAAATCTTTACAAAGTCAATTTTGTGAGTTAAAAAAAAAACAAGCGAACCTAAAGTCCTCAATAATAATAATAATAGTAAGATTTTATAATTTCTAACCGATATTACCTATTAGAACACAGGAGCACATGTTATGACAATTCAACTGTTAGGAAAAGACGAGTACATGCTTGAACCAACAGCTCAAGACCAATATGAAGATTATGTAGCAAGCTATATGTGCTGGTCCTACAATACAGAGGGAATTGATACCGAATCATTGAGACCATCTTTTCTTCAGCGGTAAGCCTGTGCAATTTTTGGATAAGTTCTTGGATAACCTAGTTCATTCCATTTAACTTTTAATATATATAGAAATCTAGAAGTCTGTAACATGGATCTTGACAATATCTATGTGCGATCTAAACTTCAGTACAAAATATCCCAAGAATCATACCATATGTTTTACATAATTGGCTCCGAAGATCTATTCGTTCGTCCAAATTCAGCTAGGAAACCTGAACAAGAGAAAGAGCAAAAAGATAAAAGCGTAGAAAAATCAATATCAAATACACAATTGTCAAAATGGCAAAATTGGCTTCAATCACCTACTACCGGATGGTCCAAAGATATCAGTAATGAGGACGAAAGAATGGAAGTCGAATTAAGAACAAAGCAATTGCTAGCTCATGGAATCGATTATGTACCTGAAAGCAATCCTTCATAAAAACCACGTAAATATTATCCTTTATCATTTATCGATTCATTTTTTTTTACCCTTCCTCAACCTCTATCTTGTTCTTTTTTGTTGCTATTTTCTTCACCTATCTTTTCCCTCTTTTCTTTCATAGCTTGGTTTATATTTTGACTTCTCTTTCTCTCTACTATTCCTTCGTGTTATTCAAACATTCTACTAAATATTTATATAAATTTTGCATTCATTAACTCTCAAATGGAGTATTCATGTATGTATATATATATATATATGTGTGTGTGTGTATGTGTGCATGCTCTCAAGATTACATTTTTGTTGCTGTTACAATTCGAAATCAAATACAAATTATATGGAATTTAAACCGGTTGGATATTGTATTATTATTTTTATATACATATTTTAAGAAAACAAACTTTTTTTACTCTATAATATTCGTTTTTTATTATTATTTTACATTAACGTAGTGTTTGCCAATAATCATCTTCTGGAGCACTATTAGTATCCACATAAACTTTACCAATACTTCCACACCGAAAATCGACATAGCCTAGGGGAGTATGGGCCTCCAAGGAATTGGACCGCAAAGAAGACGACGGGCTTAACTTTGAATTGATAATACTACTGTATCTATCTTCCAAGCATATAGAGGACAGATAATAAAGTACTTGCGCTACTTGTCGGTCACGTAAGATAGAGGCCGTGTGATATTTACCATCCAAAAGCCCAATATCCCAATACATATGATACCACACTGTTCTAGACAAGTTTGCATAATCCTCATCCTCAATCGCAGTAGGCTGAAGATCGTTATTACCATCATAATGATCAAAGTCTATAACTCCTTCATCTGTAAGGCTGGTAGGACCTCTAAACCTTTCTGGGGAGATAGATATCAGACGAATCGGTAAACTGAGAGTACTTGGGTGCATAGTAATAAATTTGACACAATGTAGACGAAGCTCCTCAAAATGAGTGTGGGACATATCGATGGGCATATGATATGGAACTGCGGGCGCTTCTTGATATATAACTGTCCATACAATGCGCATTAGCCTTAGAGCGGTACATCGACGAGAAATATATCTTAGCACAGTTGTTGAGAGTGTAAGTCTGTTGAATTCTATCAGCCTCAATCCGTGTGCTGGTGGATGTATAGAAGCCTTCTCACTGAACGTAACACCGCTTTCGGTAATTCTCAGTTTTTCCAAGAAAATGCAGCAATCCAAAATTAAATCCAGTTCAAATTTTGCAGTACTACATTTCAAATCTAGCTGTGTGAGCCGTGCGTACTCGTCCAATCCTAGTAAAACTGGCGGCTGATCACTGGAACCGAATTTCCCGGCAATAGATAAACTTTCGACCGTGGCAGAATAATTTGTCGAGATCATCTTCATCGTTTCGTCAAATACATCCAGGCTTGAATACTTGCTGTTGAATCCAACTTTTATAGAGCGGGACGGAATATCAGAAGGTCCAAATAGTGTCCAAAATATTTTATGTAACTCGCCCAGATCTTTGGTATCGATTTGAATGTTTTCCAGCCTCTCAAATACATTATAGCATGAGATAAATCTACGCTTTAGTTCTCGTAAATATTGCTCTTCGTGTACCCCAATCTCGGTAACATGGCGAGCTGTCTTTAGTTCAATTGTCTGTAGATTTGGATATTTCCGAGAAAAGTAACAAAGCCACCGATAGTCTATTCCATGAAGGGTCACAGAAATGCTTTTCAAATCAATTGCTGGCTCACATGTTTCGATTACCATCAAATCATAACTGGCGAGATGATTGAGAATTACTTTCATTGATAAAACCTCGAGTCGCGGTAAATTTCTGTGGAGGGTTTCGATATCGTTTAGTTCGAGAATCATCACACCTTGTTGATCATTGAGAGAAATATCCAACTGTCGTAGACAAGGTAGACACGACAGAATATAGAGAAATTCTCTGTTGCCCTCAAAGAAATCAGGTATACTAATATTTAACTTTAGGGCATCTAGGGATTGCCAAAGACTCCAGTCGACAGATCTTCTGTATTCGAATATGTTTTTGTACGATGTCGTAATCTTCAAGTCCCGTAAATACGGAAAGTATTCTTGAAGTATCAAGAGTTGTTCATCATCCATGTCAGTTTTAGTTGCCAAGTCTAATTCACGCACAAGATCTCCGTTTTTTATGTAGACATTCTCTTCGATAGGAAGATCATATGTGGTGTTGAGTGTGTCAAGATCTTCCATTCTGAGGACGGACCACAAAGACGCTTGGAAAGGCTTACTCCATGCTTTACAAACATGTGTACAAGTTAGCTTGTCTCTTGGTAATAGGTATTTCGCAACATAGGCAAGAATCTCGGTTGGTAAATCAGGTATCATTGTTATTAAAAAAATGAAAACAAAAAAATGAAAACAAAAAGAATCGGCAAAAACTTCTTGGCTGAGTCCCAGCAAGAAATTTTTCTTTTAAAATACTATTTCGTTGATCGTGGAACACCCGGATATTGAAAGAGGGCGTTCAAATAACGGCAGACTGAACAGTTTTATCAAGTTACACGCTTAATCGGGACTTGATAAAAAGCAAAAGCAAAAGTAAAAGAAGAGAGATGGGGTGCAGTAGGACAAAGAAGATGTACTTCTAATGGCATTTCTTATTGTATAGGTTGAATAAATTAGGTAAAGAATAGCAGTACTCCAGAGCAGTAGCAGCTCAAGGTTTGACAAGCCTCACCACCAAAAAAAAAATTGCAAACGCTGATGATAATCAGAGATATCTGTACACCGTGAAACAGAAAGTTAAAAAAAAAAGACAATTTAAGGAGGTTCACTGTTCAGTTGTGCCAATCTCGTAATTGTACTTCTGTGTACTTTGGCTAAAACAAAGAAAGTTCGAGTACTCAGACAAAGAATGCATATGATTTTGTTGTGTGTTACTTTATTATGTCTTATGTCTTATGTCTTTTTAAATTGTTTTTAAACAATGTTGGTTTCGGTACAGTAATTGGCATGAATATATGCTTGGCCTTGGAATTATCAGTGTACCATTAACATATATGGACAAACCGAGTTAACTTCAAATGTATATGTTTCTCAGCTTGAATAAGTTAGTCTCCAGTAAAATACATGACACCATCTATTACCAACACTTGATCAAACCAACAAAACAAAATAAAAAAACACTGCCATATAATATCATTATTTTTTGCTATCTAGCTTGACCAAGCTGTATATTATTCTCATACAGACTTTGGAAATTTAATGAGTAAAAGTTTGTCTTGGCTCAGTTTCGGCTATAGAAGTTTATTAATTTTTTAGCAGCAATATTGGCGTTTATCTTCATCATCTTATGTGTCACAGGTGAGAAGTATTACGGATGTACCGAGCCAAAGAACCCATCTGTATCTCTACGGAAAATCATTGGATTCTCTGACATTTATCATACCTTTTTTCATTAACTTCAATCCCACTATAAAGCACAGTAGATTTTGGATATCAAAAAGTCTAAGAGAATTATTTATTATTTGAAGATGAATACTATTGATTGCCACTGGATTTATTTTGTGAGACAAAAGAGTGTATATTAGAGGAGATCCACTAATACGAATTACAAGAAAAAGAAAATACTAAATTAGGACAGTATTCATTACAAGGTTTTGCCTTTTGGCTTGTGTAATTTTACCTAGACTTTTACGTATTGAAATAACATGATATATATATATATATGCGTGTGTGTGTGAGTGTGTGTGTGTGTATGTATGTATAGCTATAGGGCGAGTTATTATAGCACAAAAACAAAATTCAAACCACAAATATTTTGGCAAAGCTTAGTATGTGATGAAGGATGAATGTCAAAGTTTAAGGATTTGTTTCAACTTTTTCAATTTCTTTTTTCGAAAAGTGAAATAAGGTTTAATACCCGATATAAATAGAAGGAGGGAAAAAAAAGACTGATCAACTTTGTGTGTGAGTCTTGTATCCAACTGTCTTTACAAGCTATGAGTATATCTTCACTTTTAGGTATGTAATTTTTAGACCATATTAGGCACTTACTTAGGTTCTCGAATTTATTTAAAGTTATAAGGTTCGCCATAAGCCTACCAAGGCGTCTTTATTTTTGCAGGTCAAAGAAAAGAAAACAACTTATTTACCTTAAAGACATAATTTTAAGACAAAGTAAGAGTCCTTGATATTGATTGAGTACAATCTTTTACATAATTTGAAAGTCTTCTTCTTTTTTTGACAGCCTAATTTTTGTAAGCGTTTTGGGCTTTGAAACACAACCAAAGTACAGTAATTTACATGACTGCGTGCATTATTGTGCAGTATTTACTATGCGCACTGACCATATATGTAGCATTAAATTATATTCAAAACTCTCAAATCATACTTAAGACAATTGATCGGATAGATACAAAGAGCTTTGATAAAAAAAAAGATATGTAGCTCATGTATAAAACTGTAGGCCCATTCAATATTATTTTTTTTGGTATTTAAAACAACATAATAACAATATCGTACTAAATTTTTAGTGTTTTTTTTCCATACTTAACGAATGCTACCCTGAGACTGGTTGCGTTTTTATATTTTCAATTACACTTCTGTCTTCCTTCTAATAAAAAGAGCTCCCAACTCATTGTCTTGTGTATTTTTTTTAGCTCTATCTTGTATGGACTTCTTGATAAACTTAATTTTTCTTGGTGGTCTTAGATCATATAGTCTTGTAATTGATCCACCAGACTTTGTTTTCCGATATTTCGAGGCTGCTGTATTCTGGTAGTCCTCAAGGACGTTCTCCATGCTAAACACATCAGATTTTCTCTATTGATTAGCGCACTGTGAGAGATCTTGTAAAATTCTGTTTCTTGATGTGTGTTTATACTTCAACAGATTTAGAATTTTACCGTATTGAATGCAACAAATATAGTTCTATTTCTTTTATTCTTTTACTGATTAAGTGCCCTGATCGAAGATCCTTGTATAGAAATCAGGATATGTGCTATTTAGCATAATTATTGTAGGGTCGGTGTTTCTTGGGACTAGCTTTACTGTGAGGGTCTTTTCATTAATTTTATATGGAAGCATTTTTTTAAAAAAAAAACACACACACACTGCTAAACTTTAATGTGAGTTTCAGTAGTCAGATCCTGTATTAAGGAATTAACTCTGGTTATACAAACAATAAAAAATATATATATCAGAGACCTTGCAAAAAGAATTTAATACCTTTAAGTTGCTTCATTAGCTACAAGATAAGAATGCTATATATATATACCTGTAGAATATTTTAGCATTCTACTGTTAGAGCATCAATGTTTGTAGTTTTAATTGGAAAAAATCAGTTTTCTTGAATAATTTTCTATTAGGATTATATTCACTCGTTTTAAGTCAGATAGAGATCTTGGATCTTGACAAGTAATTCTTGTATTTCTTTGATAGAATTATTTTTGGTGTCAAATAGAAATAATAATAATATTTGCTATTTAATAATAATGTGCACTATATATTATATCAGTTAATTAGTGGAAAAATATGACTATATTGTATTGCGTTATTCGTCGATAAATTCTTTAAAGATAGACACTACAATATAATAACCATTCTAATGTTATTTTATTTTTATAAAATAAAATATTGTACAGTTCGGCTTCAATCATGAATACAAGACTTGATGCATCAACTGGTCAATTAATCATAATTCACAATAATACAGCCGGATTTAAGCAATCATGTGGATATCAAATAAATGCTTGTAAAATTAAAGACCTTTACAAGTTTTTTCTTTAAAAATACGTCGAGATCAATTCAACAGGCTGCTTTATTAAGATTTCGGCTGTAAAGTTCCTTTTTTTGTTCATAATTCTCTTCCATGCTATTCTACTGTAAGCTTATGTTAATAAACCAATTGGTCGCATTGAATAGGCTAATTGATTTTGAAATGCAATGACGTCACAGATTTAAATACACAGTCACACGCGCAGCGTGTCCACCTTTGTCGTGAGACAAGTGCGGCTTTAAGGATTTTTTTTTGTCTTGAACACGATCTGATCATGAGTGGTGATCCGATGCACGACCAGGGACTCGCTGTACCTGTCGGTAATGCACCCTCAATGTACTCTGCCCAGGGACAGCAGTATTACAACCAATATGCATATGAATCAAACCATCCCGAACCTATCAAAAACCATGAAGACAGATTGAACGAAAAGGCAAAGAAATGGCAACAGTTACAGAACAAGCGCTATGGCGAGAAGCGCAAGTTTGGTAAGCCATCAAAAAGAAAAAAGGAAAAAGCATCGATGAAGCCCAAAATTAATATATCATCATAAACTATTTTTTTAAAAAACAAAAAAAAGGCTTCATCGAGCATGAAAAAGCAGATATGCCTCCAGAACATCTACGTAAAATCATCAAAGACCACGGTGACATGTCAGCAAAGAAATTTAGACATGACAAGCGTATCTATCTCGGTGCATTAAAGTATGTTCCTCATGCCGTGCTTAAATTGCTTGAGAATATGCCTATGCCATGGGAGCAAGTCAGAGAAGTCTCAGTCCTGTATCACATCACAGGTGCGATTACATTTGTGAATGAGATCCCGTGGGTCATTGAACCTGTTTACATTGCCCAGTGGGGTACAATGTGGATTATGATGAGAAGAGAAAAACGTGACAGACGGCACTTTAAACGTATGCGATTCCCACCGTTCGATGACGAAGAACCACCGCTGGATTATGGTGACAATATCATGGACGTTGAACCTCTGGAGGCCATTCAAATGGAAATGGACGATGAAGAAGATTCGGCTGTATGTGATTGGTTTTATGATCCAAAACCTTTACTGGACACAAAACATGTTAATGGTACCACATATCGCAAGTGGCGCCTTGATCTTCCTATTATGTCTACCCTCTACCGTCTCGCCCATCAGTTGCTGTCAGACATGAACGACAAAAACTACTTTTATCTCTTTGATCTCAACTCATTTTTCACGGCAAAGGCTCTTAGTATGGCTATTCCCGGAGGTCCTAAGTTTGAGCCTCTCTACCGTGATATTGATACTTCAGATGAAGACTGGAACGAGTTCAACGATATAAACAAAATCATTATCCGTCAACCTGTACGAACCGAATACAAGATTGCCTTCCCCTTCCTATATAACTCTCTTCCCCGTAGTGTGCGTGTTTCATGGTATCACTATCCTATTGTCGTCTATGTTCGGTCAGAAGATCCCGATCTTCCGGCATTTTACTTTGATCCCATCGTCAATCCCATCTCATCACGAACAATTGAATCAGCTGGAAAGCAACATGAAGATTCCATATTTGGAGACGGTGATGAAGACACCGAGTTCAGTCTTCCAGAGTCTGTCGTTCCCTTCCTCGACGAGACCGAAATTTCCACAGAAAACACAGCAAATGCCATTGCACTTTATTGGGCACCACATCCATTTGATAAGAGATCAGGTCGTACACGACGTGCACAGGATGTTCCTCTTGTAAAAAATTGGTACCTTGAGCACTGCCCACCTAACCAGCCCGTGAAAGTGCGCGTCTCTTATCAGAAACTGCTCAAGTGCTACGTGCTTAATGCACTCAAGCACCGGGCACCAAAAGCACTCAACAAAAAATACCTCTTCCGCAGTCTGAAATCCACAAAGTTCTTCCAGACCACTCAATTAGATTGGGTTGAAGCTGGTCTCCAAGTCTGTCGCCAGGGTTACAATATGTTAAACTTGCTTATCCATCGTAAGAACCTTAACTACCTTCATCTGGACTACAACTTCAACTTGAAACCTGTCAAGACCTTAACCACCAAAGAGAGAAAAAAGTCAAGATTCGGAAATGCATTCCATTTGTGCAGAGAAATTCTCCGCCTCACCAAACTCATTGTGGACTCTCATGTACAATACCGTCTTGGAAATGTTGATGCTTTCCAGTTGGCAGATGGTCTTCAGTATATCTTTTCCCATGTTGGTCAATTGACCGGCATGTACAGATATAAGTACCGACTGATGAGACAGATCCGTATGTGCAAGGATCTGAAGCATTTGATTTGTAAGTCTTTCTTTTTCTTTTTATTTTTAAAGAAAATAGGATTATATAGATCAATATGATCGAAATATATATTTACTGTTGTTATTATAGATTATCGTTTCAATACTGGGCCTGTTGGTAAGGGTCCTGGTGTCGGTTTCTGGGCTCCTGGATGGAGAGTTTGGCTTTTCTTTATGCGTGGTATTGTTCCTTTGCTTGAACGTTGGTTGGGTAACTTACTGGCTCGTCAATTCGAGGGACGTCACTCCAAGGGTATTGCTAAGACTGTTACCAAGCAGCGTGTCGATTCTCATTACGATCTTGAGTTGAGAGCCGCCGTTTTGCACGATATCACTGACGCTATGCCTGAGGGTATTAAGGGTAACAAATCGAGAACAATTCTGCAGCATTTGTCTGAAGCATGGAGAGCATGGAAGGCCAATATCCCCTGGAAGGTACCTGGCATGCCCACTCCGATTGAGAACATGATCTTGCGTTATATCAAGGCCAAGGCCGATTGGTGGACTAGTGTTGCTCATTACAATCGTGAACGTATTCGTCGTGGTGCTACCGTTGATAAGACCATCTGTCGTAAGAATTTGGGTCGTCTCACTCGTCTTTGGCTCAAGGCAGAACAAGAACGTCAGCACAACTACCTCAAAGATGGTCCTTACATCACAGCCGAAGAAGCTGTCGCTATTTATACATCAACTGTTCACTGGCTCGAAAGCCGAAAGTTCTCCCCTATTCCATTCCCTCCCCTTTCTTACAAACACGACACCAAGCTCCTGATTCTTGCTCTAGAGCGTCTTCGCGAAGCTTATAGTGTCCAGGGTCGTCTTAATCAAAGTCAGCGTGAAGAACTTGGTCTGATCGAACAAGCATACGATAATCCCCACGAGGCTCTCTCTCGTATTAAACGTTTGTTGCTCACTCAGCGTGCCTTTAAGGAAGTTGGTATCGAATTTATGGATCTCTACTCTCATTTGATTCCTGTTTACGATATCGAGCCTCTCGAGAAAATTACGGATGCCTATCTTGATCAGTACCTCTGGTACGAGGCTGACAAGCGTCACCTCTTCCCTGCTTGGATTAAGCCATCTGACTCTGAACCCCCACCGCTACTGGTATACAAGTGGTGTCAGGGTATTAACAACCTTACTGAAGTCTGGGACACATCTGAAGGACAGTGTAATGTTATGCTTGAAACTCAGTTCAGCAGAGTGTACGAAAAGGTCGATCTTACTTTGCTTGGCCGTCTGTTGAGACTCATTCTTGATCACAATTTGGCTGACTATGCTACAGCAAAGAACAACGTTGTTTTGAACTACAAGGACATGAACCACGTAAACGCTTTCGGTCTTATTCGTGGTCTGCAGTTCGCATCCTTTATTTTCCAATACTACGGCCTTGTTTTGGATTTGCTAGTCCTTGGTCTTCATAGAGCTAGTGAAATGGCCGGTCCTCCTCAACTTCCTAACGACTTCTTGCAGTATCGCGATGTAACAACCGAGACCAGACATCCTATTAGATTGTACTCGCGTTACATTGATCGTCTTCACATCTTCTTCCGCTTCACAGCAGACGAAGCCCGTGACCTGATCCAACGTTACTTGACCGAACATCCTGATCCTAACTTTGAGAATATTGTGGGATACAATAACAAAAAGTGCTGGCCTCGTGATTGCCGCATGCGTTTGATGAAGCACGATGTTAACTTGGGCCGCGCCGTGTTCTGGGATATCAAGAACAGACTGCCTCGTTCCTTGACATCTATTGAATGGGAAGAGAGCTTTGTTAGCGTTTACTCCAAGGATAACCCGAACTTGCTCTTCTCTATGTCTGGTTTCGAAGTCCGTATCTTGCCCAAGTCCCGAAGCATGACTGAAGAGTTTACACTCAAGGATGGTGTTTGGAACCTGGTTAACGAGCAGACCAAGGAGAGAACAGCCCAGGCCTACTTGCGAGTAGATCAGGAGTCGATGGATAAATTCCACAACCGTATCCGTCAGATTCTGATGGCTTCTGGAAGTACCACTTTCAGTAAGATCGCTAACAAGTACAACACAGCATTGATCGGTCTGATGACCTATTACCGTGAAGCTGTTGTCCACACACGCGAGTTGCTTGATTTGCTGGTCAAGTGTGAGAACAAAATCCAAACACGTATCAAGATTGGTCTCAACTCCAAGATGCCTTCCAGATTCCCTCCCGTTGTATTCTATACTCCCAAGGTAAGATGATTTATGCGGTATAGTTTTTGCGGGCAGTACTCTGTATATTAACCATGCTTTGTTTTTAGGAATTGGGTGGTCTTGGTATGTTGTCCATGGGTCACGTTCTTATTCCTCAGTCAGATCTTCGCTGGTCAAAGCAAACAGAATCCGGTATTACTCATTTCCGATCCGGTATGAGCCACGACGAAGATACCTTGATTCCCAACTTGTATCGTTACATTCAGTCATGGGAATCCGAATTTGTGGACTCCCAGCGTGTCTGGGCTGAATATGCCTTGAAGCGTCAGGAGGCAAACGCCCAGAACAGACGTTTGACACTTGAGGATCTCGAAGACTCTTGGGATCGCGGTATTCCCAGAATCAACACCCTCTTCCAAAAGGACAGACACACACTTGCCTACGACAAGGGATGGCGTGTGCGCACTGATTTCAAGCAATACCAGGTTCTTAAGAACAATCCATTCTACTGGACTCACAGTCGCCACGATGGTAAATTGTGGAATCTTAACAATTACCGTACGGATATGATCCAGGCCCTGGGTGGTGTAGAAGGTATTCTTGAACATACTCTCTTCAGAGGTACCTACTTCACTTCTTGGCTCGGTCTTTTCTGGGAGAAGGCTTGTTTTGCCGGAGATACTTTCTTGTTGCTCGCCGATGGTAACGTCAAGCTTGCTCGCGATATTACCACCAAAGATCAGTTCATGGGTGATGATGGTTCTCCCCGTACTATTCTTGAATGTGTTGACGGTGTTGCACCTCTTTACAAGGTTATTCCTGTATCTGGTGAGGCACTCGAGGTAACCGGTAACCATATTCTTTGCTTGACTACTACCAGCAAGTCTAGCCTGGTGTGGAGCGACGAGGACAAGATATACACTCTACGTTGGTTCAGTGACCAGAAGGGTGCTCAGGAGTTCACTACCGATTCCCTCCAAGTTGTTACCGACCTTGTAGACTCACTTGAGGAAGATGTCAGTGCAAAGGAACAGGAGTACTTCTCTGAAATGACAGTGCGTGAGTACATGGCACTTCCTCAGACCTTCCAGAACACTTGGTTGATGTACCGCGCTGAACCAGAGGTGACCAAACATAATCAAGCTATGGTCGTTGCTATTAAGGCTGTCGAGTTGGTTCCTGAACCCCAGACCTATTACGGTTTCCGTATCGATGGAAACCAACGTTTCTTGCGTTATGATGGCTTGGTTGTCCACAACTCTGGTTTCGAAGAATCTATGAAATACAAGAAGCTTACCAATGCCCAGCGTAGTGGTCTTAACCAGATTCCTAATCGTCGTTTCACTCTCTGGTGGTCTCCCACCATTAACCGTGCCAACGTTTACGTCGGTTTCCAGGTTCAGTTGGATCTTACTGGTATCTTCATGCACGGAAAAATCCCTACACTCAAGATCTCGCTCATCCAGATCTTCAGAGCCCATTTGTGGCAAAAGATTCACGAAGCATTGACTATGGATTTCTGTCAGGTGTTCGATCGTGAATTGGAAGCTTTGCAGATCGAAACTGTCCAGAAGGAAACTATTCATCCCCGTAAATCATACAAAATGAACTCTTCTGCCAGTGTAAGTATATTAAAAATTGTGTGATACAAGTAACCCCCCCAAAAAAAAAGAAGAGAGAGAGAGATACTTATCTTTCTATGTTGCTTTTATAGGATATTTTGCTGTTCGCTGCTTACAAGTGGCCAGTTTCACGTCCTTCGCTGTTGAACGACCCTAAGGATATTATGGATGGACCCACGACTACTAAATATTGGTTGGATATTCAGCTTCGCTGGGGTGATTTCGATTCGCATGATGTTGAGCGTTATACTCGTGCAAAGTTCTTGGATTATACTACGGACAATATGAGTATCTACCCATCGCCCACTGGTCTCATGATTGGTGTGGATCTCGCTTACAACTTGTACTCTGCTTACGGTAACTGGATTCCTGGTATGAAGCCCTTGGTTCAGCAGGCCATGGCTAAGATTATGAAGGCCAACCCTGCCCTTTATGTTTTGCGTGAACGTATCAGAAAGGCCCTCCAACTTTATTCATCTGAACCTACTGAGCCTTACCTGTCATCAACCAACTACGGCGAGCTTTTCAGTAATCAGATCATTTGGTTTGTGGATGATACCAACGTATACAGAGTCACTATCCACAAGACATTCGAAGGCAATTTGACTACCAAGCCCATCAACGGTGCCATCTTCATCTTCAACCCACGTACTGGACAGCTCTTCCTCAAGATCATTCACACGTCTGTATGGGCGGGTCAGAAACGTCTGGGTCAGCTGGCTAAGTGGAAGACAGCCGAAGAAGTAGCTGCTTTGATTCGTTCCTTACCAGTCGAAGAACAGCCCAAGCAGATTATTGTTACTCGTAAGGGTATGTTGGATCCTCTTGAGGTGCATTTGCTCGATTTCCCCAATATTGTCATCAAGGGCAGTGAGTTGCAGCTTCCCTTCCAGGCTTGTTTGAAGGTTGAGAAGTTTGGTGATTTGATTCTCAAGGCTACTGAGCCTCAGATGGTGCTGTTCAACCTGTACGATGACTGGCTGAGAACCTTTTCTTCCTACACTGCATTCTCTCGTCTTGTTCTCATTCTGCGTGCATTACATGTTAATAACGACAAGACCAAGATGATTCTCCGTCCTGACCGAACCACTATCACCGAGCCTCATCATATCTGGCCAACCCTGTCGGATGAAGAGTGGGCCAAGGTGGAAGTACAGCTGAAGGATCTTATTTTGGCAGATTATGGCAAGAAGAACAACGTTAATGTGGCTTCATTGACCCAATCTGAAATCAGAGATATTATTCTTGGTATGGAGATCCAGGCACCGTCTCTGCAGAGACAACAGATCGCAGAGATTGAGAAGCAGACTAAGGAGCAGTCGCAGCTGACAGCTGTGACGACCAAGACTCGCAATATCCATGGTGATGAAATGATCGTAACAACCACTAGTAATTATGAGAACGCGACATTTGCTTCCAAGACCGAGTGGCGTATTCGTGCCATTTCGGCAACCAATTTGCACTTGAGAACCAACCATATCTATGTGAACTCGGATGATATCAAGGAGAATACATATACCTATGTGCTTCCCAAGAACGTATTAAAGCGATTTATTACAATTTCGGATTTGCGTACCCAGATTGCAGGTTTCATGTATGGTGTCAGTCCGCCGGATGCACCGAATGTCAAGGAAATTCGATGTGTAGTTATTCCACCTCAGTGGGGTACACATCAGACAGTCCACTTGCCAAACACACTACCAGAACATGAGTACTTGGCCGATCTTGAGCCCCTGGGTTGGATTCACACGCAACCCCAAGAATTGATGAATATTTCGCCCCAAGATGTGACCACTCACGCCAAGTTGTTGGCTAACAACAAGTCCTGGGATGGTGAAAAGGCTGTTGCGCTCACCTGTTCTTTCACCCCCGGTTCGTGCTCCCTTACGGCCTATAAGATCACTCCAGGTGGTTTCGAGTGGGGCAAGAACAATATGGATACCAGTAGTAATCCACAGGGATTCCTGCCTACACATGCAGAAAAGGTACAAATTCTCCTGTCAGACCGCTTCCTTGGTTTCTTCATGGCTCCTTCTGAAATTTGGAACTACAACTGTAAGTTTTAAATATTTGTAATCGTGAGACTTGAGTTAAGCTGATCTAATCGTTATTTAAAAATAATTATTTTCATTAATTATTATAGTTATGGGAGCCCAATTCAATGCGAATATGAACTATCGCCTGGTATTGGATGTACCAAAGGAGTTTTACCACGAATCGCATCGTGCGTCTCACTTTATGAATTTTAGCAGTGAGATGGAGACTGGTGGAGAAGCAGATATTGAGGATTCATTCGCATAAAAAAAAGAATAAGTGTATATCTATCTATATATATAAAAAATCAAATAAATGTATAGCAAAGGAGAAGGTGAAGGTGAATTAGTGTATATAACATAACATATACCATTAACATTAACTAAGCTTGAGCCATATATAATATAGATGAAAGTTACACCTGTGATATTCACATGTTTTCGTATTAGATCTCCTTTTTTTTTCTTTTATATAAAAAGCAATAGAATGTTTCCTCTTATCACATATCATTATCAATTAGAGAAATACCCATCAAATAATAATAATACTAATACTAATAATCATAATCATAATCATAATAATAATAATAATCTGGTGTTTTTCTCTTTCAATTTCTTTAAGCAAGATTTTCTTGCTTTACCTTGGCAATGAATTGTTTTTTTATTTTTGTTTTTATTCTACAGACCAATCCAATTTAGATCATTTTTTTTATACTCTACTTTCGTACAATTATCGGTCTTCTAATAAAGACGCGATTTTATATATTTAAAACACCGCAAAATAAAAGAATACTTATGAGGACTCAGACAATGAAATATGCGTCTTTTTTTTTTTGGGAAACTTTTGAAAAAAAAAAAGAGAGTGTTTTGCATTAGCTTGGTTTTAAGGTAAGTGGGTTTGGGTTATATTGAAGAATCTGGATTGTCAGTTAGGCAGGCTAATAGATATGCCCTTTTTTTTAAAAAAAAAAACCTTGATTTTTTGATTTTTGATTTATTTATCAATACTTCTTTAGCTTTAAAAGAAAAATTAGTAATTGAAGCTTGGCTTTGATATTCTATTTTTCTTAGTGTAATATATAAACTAGTTTATTTACCAGTATATGTCATATTATCAGTAACAGTGAGTATTAAAGCCTCTGTATGCTTGATAGTATTTACTTTTATAGACCTTTATTTTTTAAATCGGGTTTTAAGAAATGGAAAACAAGGTAAGAAAGGAGAGAATATTGAGGTGTACTTTCAACGCTTGGGTTGAACTACACGAATAATCAATACATATCCTTCTCTTCTAGAAAGCTTTCTTTTTTTTTGTAAACAGTAGTACTACTAAGTTATATGATTTTTTCTCCCCTGGAACTTTTCTTTGAAAAACTATACTAGCACTTGGAAGAGATAACATACATAATAATAATGATAATAAACTTTCTGAGGCAAGGTAAGGTTGCTTTTATAGAAAATTACTTTCTAAAGCTATTTTTGTGTACATGCTAAGATTTGTATTGAAGCTGCTTCCGTCTATAAACACGCAGTTTCTTAGGAAGCTTTCTCCTTTCTCCTTACAGCAAGCTATAGCTTTTTTTTTATCTCGGATTTACTTGTTCTTTTCTGTTAAGTCTCATACTTGACATATGTGATTTCTCTTAAAATAAAGTCAAGAGTAGGTTTATATGTTTGTTAAACATATTGAAGAAGACGAAGAAAACAAAAAGGTTTTAAATCTGCTGACTACAATAACTCATATTTTATTTTATTTTTTTGTAAACAGATAAAAATGGACCCCCAACTGGACATCTTAAAATATTAACACAAACACACCCAGAAGTTGTTGAAAAAGAGATCCATGTAACAATTTCTTCTTTTCTTTTCATATTACCCATTATGTGTCAAGATAATAATAATAAGAATAAGAATAATGCAATTATGTACTTTAATAACTAGAATCATATAAGTTAAAAGACCCTTTCATATAAAAAGTGGTATTCTATTATACTTTAAAGACATAAATAGTGAATTGTAGATTTTAAAGGTGCATAGTTTATTATGTATGGAGTAAGGGCTTGTTTGCATAGTTTTTATTTCTAAAAGAAAGGTATGCAACAGAACTCCGCACGTGCCCACAAAAAACCAGTCTCATGCACTTCCACTTGTAATGTAACATGTATCAGGATTACAATTCGTGATGGTAAATATTAACTTATTTTTGCTAGGGCAAGTGGTCTAATTAAATGTAATGTATGGTATTGTTATGAGACTTCAATATAAAGCTAAATAGCTTTTATTCTAGACGGCTAATAATCATTATGACCGTGTGAAATGTAATGTGGGGGGGGGGGGGTTTCTTTTGGTGTAGATTGATGAGCACATAGTACACCTCGGTATTTCTTTCCTCCTCCCCGCTTTCTATTAATATTAAGTATAGATCAAATATTTACGGTTACTGATAACAAAAGAAAAGTGATATGGTTAAATAAGCTAGTCTGTCTGTGGCACCAAAATATTACCAAGCCTGGAGCAATTATTCTAAATCATCATTTCGTTTTATTTTATTTTTAAGCTAAAGAAGTCTCAATAAATAAATCAAGGTTTACAAAGGTATATTTTACTACTTGTAAAAAATAATAATAATAATAATCCAGGTTCTTTAATAGCACCCAACTCCACCTTAAAACCAAGCTAATACAAAACAGTTTTTTTTTTTTTCAAAGTTTCCAAAAAAAAAAAAGACAGTCCAATAAAAAAGACGCATATTTCCTTATTTTTTTCTGTGTTTTAAATAAATAATAAAATTGCGTCTGTATTGGTTTACCGGTTACTGTGAATTCAAGGCGAGTTCCAAATAAGTAAAATGACGACATGACGCTTGCAGCCACTTTACTTCACTTCCAAACCAACTGATAAGTCGATAATTCAAGACAGCCGTTATTTTTATTTTTATTTTTTCATTCTCTTTCCTCTCTTCCTCTCTTTCTCTCTCTTTATTACTCGCTCGATCACTCGCTCACTTGCTTGCCTGTTTGCTTGCTTGCCTTCTTACAACTTGGTCTTATTTAATTTTATTTAGTTTTTTTTTTACATTTATTTTACATTTACATTTACATTTTTATTTTATTTTATTATTTTATTATTTTTATTATTTTTATTATTTTTATTTTCCTTCTTTCGCTCTCACATGTTATCCGTCTTCCTGCCTACACCCTCAATCAGCATGGCCTCTTCTGTCTCTTCCATGCCCATAACTTCGACTCCATCTGCTCCATCTTTACGAAGACGTAGAGACCGACTCTTTATTTCACACATTGTTCACTACCTGTCGTTTGTCTACCAATATGTTCGCAACCTCTTCCTATCTCGTCGTCTATTGATAGAACCCTCTAAAGCGAACACGTCTTCTTCATGTCGACCTGAGAAAAAAAATAAAACGAGTACGACGAATGCGACCACAACTACAACCACAACCACCAATCCTGTAAAGAAGAACTCGCACCTATACTACAAAGGAAAAACTCTGGTTTTAGACCTTGATGAAACCCTGGTTCATTCAGTTCGTCTAGGATCGCCTGACGACAATCACACGATTAGTACATCTATCAAACGCAAGAAGATTGAAGTTCAGAATGATCATCAAAGTATTCTATATGAAGTCTACAAACGACCTCATGTTGACTTTTTTTTAAAAACGGTATGATTGTGTTATATATATATATATATAAGAATATATGCGTTTGAATACTTATTTATTTTGTTGCTGGTTTTTAGATTAGTCAATGGTACAAGGTGGTCATTTTCACAGCGTCTATGGCTGAATATGCGGACCCAGTGATTGACTGGCTGGACCAGGATCAGCACATCATTTCCCAACGTTATTTTAGACAGGTAATATAAATATATAAAATACTTGAAGACCCAGAGATACGCACATACGCACATACGCACAAATGTGTAGTCCTTTTTTTTCTATTTTATTTAAATTGTATTATCTTTTATTTATTTTTTAGTCTTGTGAATATCGTAATGGTGATTTTCTTAAAGACATCTCTCTTGCTGAACCAGACCTTTCAAAGGTGTGCTTGGTAGACAACAGTCCGGCTGCATTTGGCCTTTACAAAGGTAAAATATATTAAAAAGACAACAAAGGGAGGCGAGGCAAGGGAGGGGGTTAAGATGAGTGGATTTATTTTTGTATGTATGTGTGTGTGTGTATTGATTTGATAATATTATATTATATTAGATAATGGTATTCCTTTGACAGGTTGGATATCTAACCCTCAAGACCAATGCTTATTGGACTTGCTCCCGCTACTCGACGCATTGAGATTCACGGCTGATGTTCGGAGCATCTTACGCCTTCGAAGCATCGATCAGTCCTAACCCTCCTTTTCCCTTACCTTACCTTTAGTCTCTTCATCCTCCCTTTCTATCAATATCTCTCTCTTTTTTCTTTATCTCCATTTCATAAACGCACAAACTCAACTTTTGCTTACAACACATACATACAAAACACTCACTCATATATATATATATACACACACATACACATACACACAAATCTTCTGTTTCTTTAGATCTGTTGTGAGGCTTTTCTTTCTTTTTCTATTTCTTCTTCTTTTTTAAATAATGATAACCAAAGGTCTTCAACAGAACCATATATACTATTATTATTATTCTTGTTACAACGTGGAGTGTGGGGAAGTGGCTGTGGTCCACATGGTCGGGAATAGGCTTGTATCTGTGCTACTTTAAGGTACAGAACAAGTATTATATAAATATATTACATATAATAGAAAGAAAAGAGAAAAGAAAAATAAAGTCCCTCTTCACTCCCCCCCCCCCCCCCCCTTTTTTTTTATTTTTCTTTAGTTATTTTTAATTTTTTATTTTTTTATTATTTTGACTCCCCCCCTTTCCTCCTTTTAATCCCCCCCCCCCCCTCTCTCTCTCACTGTCTGTCTGCCTTGCCTCGTGCATAAAGGTTATGCAATAGACATAATATTGATGCAGGCTTTTTGATATCTCTTTATTTATTTAAGGCAATAAATAAATAAAAAATAAATAAAAAAATAAAAAACTATAAATACCACCCATCTTTTGTTCACTAATCTTTCCTTCTTCTTTTCACTTTCAAAAATTATGCTCCCTTTCCCCACCATTGTCTGC